GGCAATCCATCTACGTCCTGAGGACCTCGCTGCCACCGTCCAAGCGTGCTTGGCCCCGGCAGATGAACCTCAGGATTAAAGGGTGGGCTCAGTTCCGCGCACACTGTGTCTCACCTAAAAAATCCAATGCGCAGGCTGGAAGGTGGAAAGACCTTCCCCGGTTCTTCGTTCGCGAAGACTGGCCATTAATTACCCACTTTGGGAAGAAAGAGACCATCTGATCTTCTTCAATGCCATTTATTTCTGAGGAAAAGCTAGAAGCTGTTGCTTTTTATGTTTCTAGGCAGTGAAGAAAGAAGGATTTGGTTTTAGTTTTTTTTTTTTTTAATTATTTTTTATTTCTTCCTCCCATCTTTCTGAGTGAAGTAGCTCCTTTTTTTCCTCCTATTTCCTATGATACCTCAGACCTTCCCTTCCCATCTCACCCCGCCCCCCCCAATTTGAAATTCCTTTTCAAGTATCTCATTACACTTTTACTTCTACTTGCAGGATTATCTAACTGATCTGATTACCAATGACAGTATTACCTTCTTCAGACTCTCAAAGAAGATGTATCCTCACAGGCCCGTGCTGATGGTTATAAGCCATGCTGCTCCTCACGGCCCTGAAGATTCAGCCCCTCAGTACTCACATCTCTTTCCTAATGCCTCCCAACACATGTAAGGAAAAAAAAAAAACAAACAAACCAAAACCCTTTGATTTTTCAGGCTCTGGAGTATGGAATTCCTGGGTAACAATGTTTTTGTTTATAATACTCTTGGCATAACCTTGTTACAAATATGTAAGAAGAATTTCCAGACTTTTTTTTGTTTTGTTTGTGTCTCCTTAGACCGGTACAAGTGTTTTGAGAATGGCTACAGAATTAATTGGGCATTGTTGCAACGTCTTTGGGAATCAAGGGACTGTTTTTATTTTGAGCAGGGAGATCAAAATCTGGTCCTTGGGCTGTAAACTCTTCAGGGGAAGAAACTCCTGTGTCCCTATTCTTACGTATAAAGTATATTATTTTATGGATATTAGCAGAAATCACGTGTTATACAATACTTTTATATATGGAAAGAAGGCAAATGCAGGGCTGCAGCACCAGATAAGACAAACTATTTCTCAGCGAGCTGGTGTGTCTGTCCATGAGCCAGTGCAGTGTCTTGAATGGATCCCAAAAGCAATATCACCTGGTTCCTGAGTTACCACATTCCCAAGCTCCACACTGAGATGGTTCTGGTTTATGGTATTGGTACAGCTCTGGAATGCTGCATTGCAGGGATCTCCTTGCATGTGGATAAAATGAGTGGTTCTCCCAAATCCCCTCTTGACACGGCTGAAAACATTCCAGTAGTTTTCTAATTCCTGACTTCGTGCCTTCGTTGACGTTCAGCATTTGGAACTTTCTTCCTGTGTGCTGCTGCCCCCCTTTTTTAAGGGGAATTCTATCTGATTTTGCATTTGTGAAGGAGCTGGGAACTGATGGAAATAATAATCAGTTGGTGGCCAAAGCTGCTCAGGCCTAGTCCAGAGTCCATTTGAGCTTTTATGCTTAATTTAAAATAGAATCTGAGGGAAAAAGCTTCCTTTGTTCTATTGTCTGGTTATTACATAACTTAGAATTACATTTTTCATTATTTTCTACTGTGGCATAGATCTACAGCAATGAAGTATTTAATGTTTGTTTGCCATATTGTGCTCATTTGTTCTTTGAAATGAAAATTACAGACATGACCATTGAGCAACTTCTCATGGCTTATATTACTAGGTTCCTTTAGAAGGCATTTGGATCTGGGAGATGATAATCATCTATCTGGCAACAGTCTGTACTGATTTAGTTGCTAGTTGAATGAAAAAGAGTAGAAGGATTTGAGGAGAGCCAGCATTGAGAAATACAGACTATATCTATTTTTCTTTTGCTCCTGGTTTAAGTCTTATTATTCACACAGATTAGGTTTATCCTTCTGATTATAAAGTAATTACACTTTTTTTTTTTTTTTTAAATTTTAGGTGACTTTTCTTACAGTGATAACAATTACATAGGAAGTGTCTCCTCATGGAAAGGAGTTTTGTTTGCAAAACAGTAAATTACCATGGTAGATTAAGGAACTGTGTTTTTCTTTTGGATATGAATTTTATGTACATCGAGCACAAAGAAACTGCCAGTCATCTTCTGAACGCTTTTTCCAGCACTGCATAATAATAATAATTTGTAAGGGCTTTTATTGACCTGGGTTTAAGAGTAAATGTAAAAAATGCAGAACATGTGCATAGAGTGAGGGGCACGCTGTGAGTTGTTCTCTGCTTTGTTTTTTCCCCTTGTTCCCATATTCCAGGGAATTCCCTCAGTGACAGGTAATCTGTCAATTAAAAAAGGGTCGTAGGCTGTTGTTGCTGTTTGTGGGTATGGTAGGGCAGGATCAGAACACAGCGGGGAGGAACACTTAGGAATTGTCCTAAAGCAGTAAGAAATACCCTGAGCAGTCTTTGCCCATTCCCAGCCTCAGCAGGCAGGGCACCCTGGGCATGGCTGTGACACAGGTGCATTCTGGAGCTGTGTCCAGGGCCAGGGGGAGGTGGCACTGCAGTGCTTGCCATCCCCACTGCATGGGGAGGCACTGCTGGCAGTGGTTAGCAGCTGGTGGTGAGGGGTTTAGCACAGACAGTCAGGGTGCTGCTTTGCTTGGGAGCTCTGGGATCTCCTCCTGTGGTGAATTTGTGTGCTGTTCTCTTGCTGCTTTTGTTCCATGTTCATGGCTGGTGTGACCACTCTGCCCCACACTGCAGTCTGTCTCCCCCTCGTCCTGCAGAGCTCCTTTCTGGGCGTGTCTGTGGTCTTGTCGTGTCTGGAAATTATTCAGAGAGCAAATCCCTCGGCTGCAGGGCTGGTTTTCCTTTATTCCTGCTGCTGCTGTGAGCTGCAGAGAGCACGACAGCTGGGCAGCTGAGCAGGGATCAGAAATGTTACTGCAACGGAGGGGACGTTCTCCCACCCATCTTTTCCAAGGTCAAATGCAATCTGACTGGGACTTATCTTCTGGGTGCATTTGAAGGAGTTATCTTAACCAACTTCTAGGAATGTTACATCTGTGTATTCTTCCCATAAGACAGACAAATCTGTTAAGCATAAGAGGGTTACATTTGTAGTAATCAAAGAAAATCACAGGCTTTAGTTGGATTATGTAGTGGGAGATTTCAAATCAGCCAGGAAATCACGAAGTAAGCTGAAAAGGAGGTTGCAAAGCATTTTTGATTCATTCTGGGCATCACATAGCAACAGTTTCCATAACTGTCAGCATTTTCAAAGAAGCAATGCCATTATTTCGGCCACAATAACATTCTGAAATTCAAGAGACTATTAACTTTGCAGAGAGAATAAACACCAGCCTTTTCCTCCCTGTACGGAGAAGCCTCCACTTGCCACCTATGCATATTTTTCAGATACCATCTGACAGAGGCTTTCAGCATAAAGCATTTCACTGGCAGATTATTAGCTTCATATTTATATTAAATCTCTTAATACTACCTGTCATATTTAAAGATATATTAGATACCCAGCATTTTGATGAGAAGTTTCAGCCTATATTACTGTTATTTATCTTAATAACTTACCCTGCTGCTCTGTTGCATACACAAAATCAACAGTAGAATTTTGCCAACTAGGAGCTGAATTTATCAGGAAATTCTGTGTTGCTAAGAGGAAAGGAATGGAATATCTACTGTTCTTTCCTGTGTTACTGTCACCCTCTGGGCTTGTGCATTTGCATAGGCTGAGTTTATTGCTCTGAATGAAAGGAGGAAGCCTAACCAAATTACTCAGGAAAAGTAATCTTTAATATTTTAGGCTCTGCAGGCGATGTGTTTGAGGCAGGATGTGAGGAAATTGGAAAAGGTTGTTTTCAACCTTAAGTAATAGCAAACTTTAGAGGAATAGACATAGGAAGTAAAAATAGTACTTCTTGCAAATGTAAGCTATAATATAACTTCTTGGGGAGTTGGTGATGCAGAGAGTTGACACCATGGTAATAAACCCTTCTCTAGGTTCAGCTGACCTAGAGCAATATAATAATGAACAGAAAAGCGAGAGCTGGGACTCCCAACAGTGTGAACCTGTGGACAATCAGTTACATTTTTCCTTATCACTTTAATGGTGTCCCAGGACCATGAGAACTTGGAGGGGCAGTGATATTTCAGGGGCACATCGAATCCAGTTTTTTGCAGGGACTTTAATTGAAGTTTCTGACGATAACAAAGGATTTGGTGGCTGTAATGTGTCTTCAAAATACAACCCTGTTTCCCTTCAGCCCTGCTTTTCTTGGCAGGTCTTTAAAATCCATGTGCACCCACTAGTGCTGCTCCCATGCCGTTGGATACCAGCAGGCAGAGTGCCTGTGCTGCTCTGGTGTGTGAGGGTGAAAATACTCGAGCAGCCAGTCATGCTAAATTCCAGACAGCTCTTAAAGAACAAAGTAGAACCTTTTCAGCAAGTCCTGTGGTTGTCTTTAAACAGCTTGCACAAGCCATAGTGCTTGGTTCTGATGTGGACAGAGTGAAAGCAAAGCAATTCCGTGAGTAGGAGCTCTGTGATATGTGCTTCATCCTCATCATACTTGTGGAGTTGAAACTTCTGAGGCCATTCTGTTGGCTTTTAAATGGATCCATTAGTCTGAAGTCACTGCAAAAACAAGGTGTATTTATTCTTTTCATGGATTTATTCCCCATGGAGTTGTTTTTCGTTTTCCCATGTTTCGTAACACGAAAGTATAAGACATTTCCAAACTAAATCTAACATTTTCTTGTGCACCTTGATGAGTAAGTCCTATCGTGTTGATAAAATAGAAATTACTAGTATTTATTACGATGGCTTTTTTTTTTTTAATTGGCTAAAGCGCTGTGGTTTCCTCTCTGTTCCTTAGCACTCCCAGTTATAACTATGCTCCAAACCCAGACAAGCACTGGATCATGAGGTATACTGGTCCCATGAAGCCCATACACATGGAGTTCACCAACATGCTCCAGAGAAAGCGCCTCCAAACACTCATGTCTGTGGATGACTCAATGGAGATGGTAAGATTAGGAGTGCCCTTTATTGTTTTTTTTTTTTTCTTTTTGCTAAACAGGTTTCTTGAGTTAAAGCTGTAGATGAAGGAGAAAGGAGGAGAACTGCATCAGTTTTCTAATAGTGTGTCATCCTCTTACCTCTGATCATGTTGGCTCTTTATTCTGTATATAAGGATCGTCATCTCCTGAAGACAAGTACCATGAGGTGGTTGGTGTGAGCTGATTTGTTGGCACAGAGCTGCTACTGAGTGAGGGGAAGAGGAACCTGAAAAAATAAATATCATATGTCCTAAAAATGTACCCTCTGATAGAGAAAAGTCATCCTACAGTCTGTTGGAAATAAATGCCTAAATGTGTGCTTGTTTTGGTCCTGTAACACTGAGTTTCTGAGAGAAGAAAACAACAGCAGCAAAAAGTGATGTTACAGCAGTCCTCACTGGAATGATCTCATGGTAAACCCAGCCCAGGATGTTAAATGTTGGAAATAAAGAAATAAATATATATAGGTTGATAACATTAAAAAATTTAATTAAGTCTACATTAGGTAACAATGAGATCTCTTAATGCAGACTGGGTGTTTTCAATGGAAATGTCTGAATTCACTAAAAACTACTCTGAATAAGAGTGATTTTCCAGATCTAAAAAGGCAGATTTGAAGGAGTTGCAATTTACTGCTTATCTCTTGGCATTCTTATTCAAAAAAGGTAGAAGATAAAATAAGTGGAGTGCTGTAAAGCAAAGATGAGATTATATGGGTGGCATTGCATAAATTTGTTACTAATGTCTTATAATTACTGATTCAGGCAAGTATGATCTCTGTCTCATGTTAATGAACCTGTTCAGATGGTTCAGATAATCTGCATTAGGGGAGATTAGTGATTTTACTACTCTGTTTGGATTTTCTGTTCAGTAAAATGGTTTCAGTCTGGGTGATTGACTGCAGGCAAAATCAGTGAGTTAGTTTTTTAGTTCTAATTACCAAGTTTCCCTGATCTTTTCCCCTGAATTACATGTGTCTAATATTAGTCTTTCAAAACTCAAAAGAAAAAGCAACCAAATACCTCACACAGAACAACAAAACCACCACAAACACAAACAAACAAACAAAAAAAAAACCCAAACAAAACAACCCATAACAGAAGCAAAAATAACCCCCCAAACCAACATCAGTTTTTCTTCTGTGCTAGTGGATTCTGGGGGAGTGTGAGGCACCGCTTTGCTGCTACCCCCCCACCTTTGTACCTTTGCAAGCCAAAGCATCACGTAAAAATTTGCCTTTGGTGCTCAAGTTGATACATTTAACAGAAAGATGCTCCTATAAATCTGTGGAAGCAACCACAAAGGTAAATCTCGTCTTAATTCTCCATGGTGAGGGGGCATGGCCGAGTGTTGTTTATCTGGAAGGTATTGTGCAAATATTCTGCATAACGGGGACTCATTGAGTGAGGCAAGATCGTTGAGTGTTGCTTAAATAAATGTGAGATTTCAAATGCTGTCATTTTATTAAAATTGTTTGCTGCTGGAAAAAGATAAAGGTCGAGAGAAAATTTCAAAAATGACACCTTGAAACTCTTCTCTCTGTGACTGTTTGTGTTTGGTACTGTCTTGACAGCTCTTAGGCAAAATGCTGAACCCGAACACTTGGGAGTGGCAGGTTAATGTGTTCTACCTTAAAAGAGACAACAGAAGTGTGCCTTGCCAAAGCCACAATATCCAGCCAGTAAAATTAAGATGTGATTATGGATTGTTCAGAGTGGTTCATTGGGATAACTCAGTGCCAGCCTGAGCTGTTGTTATTTATTTGCTACTCATGGGCAGAAAATAATAGCCAGTATTCCACATGGATATGAATTTCGTATTTTGGTTTGGTTTATTTGTTTATTTTTTTCTTTTTTTTTTCAGATTTACAACACATTGGTTGAAACGGGAGAACTGGACAACACATATATAATATACACAGCAGACCATGGTTACCACATTGGGCAGTTTGGGCTGGTGAAAGGGAAGTCCATGCCCTATGAGTTTGACATCAGAGTTCCTTTCTATGTCCGAGGTCCAAACGTGGAGGCTGGGTCCTTGTAAGTTCTTGGCTGGTGTCTGTGTGCATATTCAGTGATACCCATTCTTTTAAAGGTTAAAATTATACATGCAACTATGTAGTTTTCAAGTTAAAAAAATATGTTTCATCATGCTCACTGCCACAGTAGATAATTACTGCTGAACTTGTTTCAGCTTATAAAGAATAATTCATATGTTACCATGCACAAAAGCTTCTTTTTGGTTCATTCTTTGAGATTACATGGTCAGGGCTGTTGGATGCACACAGGCATGCAGAGTGTGCCTGTTAATTAAAATGGTAGCTTTGAATCAGCTAAGAAATTATGTAAATACACTTTCTAAGCAATTATTTCAAATAGCAAATATTTGCACTTAAGTAATGATTTTGGACAGAGTGCCATAATTTGCTGCCTTGTCTTTATATCAGTGTGCATGTTTTAGCATAATTAACACACAGTCTTCCACACAAAATTCCTTTCTCTTGCTGCAGATGGGTCTAGTGTGTAAAACAATAACAGATAATTACAAGAAAAAAAAATCTCATTCCGTGTACTGGTTAAATTCATTGGTTCACATTATCTGTAGGCACAAAAATGTTAAACTCTGTAGATATTGAACTGTGTCCCTGGTTTGTTTTCAGCAGTTATGCATATTAAAAAAAAAAAGGCAACATTACTTCTCTGAAAAGCAGGGAGGGATTCCTCAGGTGGAATTAAACACGTTACCTCAGCAGTGAAGGAGTTTTGTCTGCAGCAGCTCAGAGTTTCAAGTGAGCTGAAATAGCCTGCTAAGAACATGCTCTCTCCCTTTGATTGCAGTTCTTGGCCTTCCTGGAGAGGGAATGCTGTTATGGCCCGAGTGGACTGAGCTGGTGTTTCTGCAACATGGAATGCCAGAGACCAGCCACGTTATGTCTGCTCTAGTTCAAGGATCTTTCACCCAGACATCCATAAAAGCTGTGAAATCTTCCCACTGAATTTTATTTTTCAGAGACTTCTGAAGATGAAAGAATAGGAAGAACAGGATAAAATAGCTTGGAGGGGAGATTATATCAGAAAATAAATTGATCTTCCCTCTCAGCCTGGTTTTCTCTAAATGATGGAACATCAATCATCCGTGTTTCGTGTGAACCTTATGTTTTTCCTGCAGAGTAATTGTCCTGACTCCCTTTTGATACCAACAAAATTTTAATAGCAGTCACTGCAGCAAGTCATTACTAAGCTCTCATTTCTATTACCAAATATATACTACATCATAATTATTAGTAATTAAAATCAAATTAGGTACATCAATTTAATTCATCATCCATGCTCTTGTCGGTGCCTGTTTGCTCACTCACTCAAAAATGTAGTAATTTTTAAATAGTGTCTCATTAATTAGTGTGAATTTAGCAGCTTCCTTCTGTCCTGAATTTTTTGAGCTGGTGTTCTTCACTGCTGTGTACAGCAGCCCATCTGGTCCCATCCTGCCTTTGTTTGAACAGAGCTGGAGTTGCTTGGTGTCATTACATGGACTGGAAACCGGCTTCTCCTTTCTGTTTTTCTCCAGGAATCCTCACATTGTGTTGAATATCGACCTCGCACCTACCATTCTGGATATTGCTGGGCTGGATATTCCCTCTGACATGGATGGTAAATCCATTCTAAAGCTGCTGGATTCTGAGAGACCAGTAAATAGGTAAGAACTGGGAATGTGTGTGGAAATGTGTGTGTGTTTGTACAACAGACTGAACAAGTGCTCAGCAGCATGCACCAAATTTAAAGGAAAATGTAATAAAATTCCCGTCTCTAGGATGACATCATTCCCTGGAAAGTCTGAAGACTAGTTGGCAATATATGACTCACTTCAGTTAGGTATTTTCATTTTGGCAGGTTCATATAGTAGATGTATGGCATATATGGCATCTGGATATACTAAATATAGTCTGTGTAGAAGAGAGGGCTTTACCTGTGTGAATTATAGATTTTAATTGTCTCTGTGGCATCGTTTATAGCAAAGCTACAAATTTCATTTTGAATGAATTGTAGAATAATTGAATTGAAAGAGTTGGTTGTATATCAGACAATAACCTAAAGACAGGCTAGAACTAAAAATTGCAGTTATTATTTAAGACTTTCCATCAATAGTTTCATTGGGAAAAGACTGAGGAAGAGAATTAGACTGGATGCTTGCTAGAGAAAATCAGCAGAGAAAGGGAAGGAGATTTATTTGCTTTACAAGAAGTTGGGTGGAGGGAGAGGGGGAAAGGAGCAGCTGCTTTAGAATAGGCTACTTGGTGGGTAATATGCAGGTTAAGAGCCCAAACTTGGGTCATGAAATCTGGATTTAATATGTGATCCTTTGTGATGGAGGACGATTCAGTTAATCCACTGTGCCTTAAACCTGCTTATGTTGAAGAAATTGTACTCTGTGAACCTGTGGTGGATTTTTGTCCCTGTGAGAAAGATCTACCCGTGGTTTGCACTGGAGAGGTGGATGTGCCAGCATCATAGAACTGGATGTCCCCTTGTGCAGTGACATGGTGTGTGTCTCATTGGAATCGGGGATGGGAGAGCAAACTGGGGCACAGCTTGGTTCACTGGTTTTGTGGGAGTTGCTTCTTCCTCTCCTCGTTTCCTCCCAGGTTCCATTTAAAGAAGAAGATGAAGGTGTGGAGAGACTCGTTCCTGGTGGAAAGAGGGTAAGGAAAGTGTTAATCACAAAGCCCAGTCTTTTTAAATAGAGGGCCACTGAATAGCTAAAGCCAGAGCAGCAGTGCCACAGTGTAAAGCCATTTAGCTGTGCCAGCAGGGACACGCTGCAGCATTGCCTAATGGCACTGATTGTGTGATGGGAGGGAACGTATGGCGTTTGCCTACATGAACGTGCTCTTGGGCTGGGGGAAGGGAGTTTACTTGCATTGAGAGGTGGAAAGACATCCCATTTTGCTTTCAGCTGCTGCCCTCCCCACCCTCCTGCCTGTGCCATGGGAGTGTGAATAACCCTTCTCTGCGCGTTCATCTGCTGCCTCTGCCTTAGTGCATCAGTGGGGGCACGAGGGGTTTGCAAAGTGCAGCCCTGCAGGGTGAGCAGGATGTGGTCTCTTTATATTGACTGTTGTCACTGCCTGCCAATCAGACATGAAACACAGTATTGGTTTTGTATGTTTTTGTACTCTCCCTGTGAGAGCATGACATGAGGAACTTGTGTGTTATTGGAGAGGCTCGGTGCTGGTTTCTACTGGACTATTAATTTTTGGCTACCAGGGTTGCTATGGACGTGGAAAATAACACACTCCTCTGAGTCTTTTCAACAAACTGCATTTAGATACTGGAATTAATATTAATGTAAAAACAAATATTATTCTTTTTCCCCAGCAAACTGCTGCATAAGAGGGAGAATGAGAAGGTAGATGCCCAAGAAGAAAACTTTCTACCCAAATACCAGCGTGTGAAAGACCTCTGTCAGCGAGCTGAGTATCAAACAGCTTGTGAACAGCTTGGCCAGGTAGGACATCGTCCCCCTGACTGAGAATAAGCAGTTGTAGTCAGGCTAAGCTTAACACCCTCACTGTGCAATGTCCTTCCCTACATCATCCCTGCCAGCTTATGAATCAAATGGCTCTGTGGCCTTTGCTCAAAACCATATTACAGCATTTATGAGATTGACTGTCAGTCAGGAAATTCTGATTCAGGTGGTCAGGAGAACCACTTAGGCTGTTTTAACATTCTATTCCCCAAATATGATGTGGTTTGGGATACATTAGTGATGAGGAGCTACAATGTACCTAACACGTTGGCCTTCTCCAAATACATATAGTTTGCTTTGCTTTGAATTCTCTATTTAATTCATTTTGTTGATGTTGTTATTTGGAATTACATGTGATAATGGGAAACTAACATTCTGTTAACTCAATAGATCCTTCCTCTGAACAAAAATATGCTGGGAAAGCACACATGCAGTTATGACTGGAGGCAGTCTGTGATATGGGCACAAAGCTCATTGATTGTGTGTCATTTCTCTTGTTGCATAACTGTTCTGGGCAGATAGGAAAATAGGGACACTTTAGATCCAAGTTACATAGGAGAAATTCAGGGGAAAAATATCTGGAGTGGTATCAATACCTGGTCTTGACATGCACAGGAGAGGATTTTGTAAATTTAGGAGAGCAGTGCAAAGGCAAAGCATAGCTGACTCCATGGGTAGAATTCCCCATCCTGGGGGAATTCTCATCCTCTGGAAACACAGCAGAATGGACTCTGTGCCATTGCTCTCATCCAGGTGTGGGCCCAAGTGCCCCTTCCAAGGACTGTAGCACATTCCTCTGTGGACAGAGTGGGGAAGGTAAATGGGTTCGTGTGCTACCCTGTCAGTTTTGGACTGGCATTCCCTCATCTCCTGGCAGCTCAGAGGGCTCTCAGGATAAGTCAGATGTGGAACATCTGTTCATGCAGACACAATCTGAATGATTCACCAACACTACAGTCAGGAATGGACTACTGAGGCTACAGCAGTTCCATATTTTACTGTCAGACCAGACTTCCTTCTTCTGGCTCTACTGTTCAGGTGGTTCAGTGTACCTGTGAAATGAATCCATTGCTACTCAGGTGTTTGGACCCAATTTTCCAGATGCTCTTTTCCTCCTGTGGCTTCTTTGTCAGGTGTAGTATACTGAGAAACTACAATGTCCTGTCCTTCCAAAAAACACAAAAGGAATATTACGTGCAATAACTTACTGTCATCAGATGTCTCGAGCTGCAGTTTTAGCTGTGTGGGAGCAATCCATTGTTTTATGAATTTGAAATGTTACTTGAGGAACTGGGGGAAAAGTTACTGTTTCTGCTACAACATCATTCAGTAAGTAGTACAGGGAAATACAGCTTTTCTTTTTCCATCAGTACTGTCTTTTTGAAAGCTGTTTCAGCTTCTTCCTTTTGTCTTTGTCTTCCCAAATATTTTGAACGTTATTGTAAGAACAGAGGGGAAGAGAGACTTTCCAAACCCATGTTGTCACTGAATCTGTCACTTTGCATAAGGTAACTTAGCTATGTTCAGGCTTTCTTACTCTAATTACCACATGTCTCAGTTGTGGAAGAAAGGGGGGAAGGCCCTGTAATGTCTACACACATTCACAGGCTTATGTTTTCTTTCATGGGTGATAAAATATCCTTGACCTCTCTAAGAAGTGGGTATAAAACGTCAACTCTGTAGTCAGAGTTGCCAATAAATTCTGAAGTAAAGATGTGCTAATAAGAGGTGTGTGTGCTGCATCCTCATTGTCAGGAGACAGAGGGGAGCAGAATTGTTTGGAGCAGTTCAGTCAGACGTAATTGGAAGTGATAGGATGAAATTGAGCAAAAAAGACATTTACGTTGGACATCAGGAAAAATTGCCAAACAATCAGGTCGATTAAAGTCTGTGAAGGGCTCTCAAGGGAATCTCAATCCATCTCACCCCTACTCTAGAGAAAATGTGCTGGTAGTCTATCTAGACAATAGGAATAGTGGGAGATGAATGTGCTTATTTGAGGGTAAACTGTGCCTAAATATGGGTACACCCAAAAGTCTTCTCAGAGTGAAGCAAGACCAACTTCTCAGATGACAAATGGGTGTTGTCTCTTTGGTGGTGCTGTTCACAGCCCTGCATAGTAAGTAGAATGAGCCCAAATTAATAACATAATTATGTTATTAATAAATTAATAACATAATTAATAACCGCTGTCTTGGGGCAGTTCGTGGTATGCAGATACAGGGGTTATTTATCTGGAGCGTTCAGTACAAAAAGGGAATTTTCCCATCCTGATGCAAAGATGAAGAGAAGTCTGGGTCAGAATTAGCTGAAGGCTTGCTAAGGTCATTGGGATTCTGTCTTTTGGCTCAGCCAAGATTGGGGGAGCTGCTGTTGGGTGCACAGAGAAATCTGAGCAGTCCCAGGGAATGTGGAGGGTGAGCAGGAGACAAGAAGCGCAAACGGAGGACAAAGACTCAGAAGGAGAGTGAAGGACAAGAGAAAAGGACGGAGTTTAAAGTAAAAGAGAGGTAAAGAAAGCTTTGAATGTGAGGTGGAGAATTTGAAATTCTGCTTTGTGAGTGTGCGAGTTTGTGAATCCAGTTCTATTGCCACAAAATGATCTTCCTTTGCAAGTCTCTGTCACCCTCCTTAACTTATAATCGTTTTGGTAAGAGAGCACCAGCATCGTGGAGAGGAGGCTATTCATGCTGTTTAAAACCTTGTTTCACAGTCCATTATGTGGGATTTTTTTGGCAACAGTAATGTATGTAAATTCTCCTGAGTGCAATGGGAGCCTGTGTGTCGCCGTGTTTTCTTTTGCATTAGTGGGGTTTGCTCTGTGTTAGTTGTTTGCATCCAACAAAGGGGGACTGTAGGCTCAGATGAAAGAGCAGTTCAGCATTTATATTCAAGGATTTAAAGGAGATGAGCTCTTCCCACATGAAATAAAAAAAACATTTATCCTGGTACCTAATGGCTTCCACACAAATTTTTTTTCTCTTCAGCCTGGTTTGGCCTTTCATTCTAAACTGGCTGGTGAGTGGAAGCTGACCCACTTTCATCTGGCAGTCTGCATTAATGTGCTTTTGTGGAAGCCAATTATGATATCACCATTGCTCTGTAGAGCACTCCCAGCAACTCCACAGTATCATAACAACAGCTGCACAAAATCTCCCTCGAAGTAATTTGCCAACTTTGTGCACATTTGATAAACATGCAGTACCTGCAGCAGTGCTGGTTGCTGTAGGGAATCTCTGTTGTGCTTGTAAAAAAAAAAACCCCAAATTAAGAGAGAGTAATTTTGTCTTTAGCTGGACCAGGCATAGTACAGTAATACTGCTAACTCATGAAGAAGAATAGTTATCTGAATTGACATTATTTCCCTTTCAAATACTTATTTTCAGAGCTTTATTTACATGTGCGTTCAAAACGCAAACATTTATAAGGAATTTCTTTAAAAACTGGGAAGGAAACTTTTGAACTGTCTATCTTTTGTGGTTGTCTGGTTCTTTTGTAGCTAGCAGAGATATCCTGAGGTTAGTAAAGAATTTAGGTTCTGTTGATAAGAGAAGTGTATCAAGCCAGCTGGAGTCCAGATAACTTTAATAGCTCCTTTGGCAGATCGCTGGAGTTCCTGAATTTCAGCACGAGTTGCACGAGATCAGCAACTTTCAGGATCAAGCTCTTAATCTCTGATTGCAACAAGAAATGACTTGCTGATAACTTCATACACTAAAAATTTTATCAGCCCTCAAACTGATAAAATTAGGAGGCAACAAACCGTGAAAATTAAAATAATGATGATTTATTAAGGCTGTTATCTGAGGATTGTATTCCTCATCAGGAACGTTAATTAACAAAACTGTTTTCCTCCTTTAGCTAGAAATAGCCTGTAATGATTTCCAGAGGCTATTTTACTCACAGTATTTTTTTGCTTGTTTGCTTCACAAACCCAAGAAATTTGTTTTTCTTATTAATGGAGGTTTTTTAACTCCTTGTCATTGCAGTGGTGGTTGTTGTAAGCAGCTTGCTAAAATCAATACCAACATTTAATAAAACCCCCCCAAATTTTCAAATATGTCCTGACATGAGTAGCAATGTACTTCAGTTCCAAAGAAAATGGGCTGCAGGTCAGGAGCTCGGGCTCCACACTCAGTGTGGGACCTCAGACAAATCAATTCCCCTTTTGGTGCTGCTTTTTCCTCCCCCACTAATGTAATTTCTGCTAAGGCTGCACTCACTGCTCAGCTTCTGCAGTGCCTAACACAGCAGCTTGGACCATTTGATACCACAATCCAATTATTATATTAATAATAAATGAATTACATAATTGTAATCTTAAAATTAGCTGGATACCTGCTTTTTCTTTTGCAGGCTGGTTGTAATTGTCCCACCTGCCTCACTTCAGCTACAGTTTGTGGCATTAAGAAGCCCTCAAGATATTCTGTCAATAAATTGTTCAGCCATCCTATAATTTCAAAGTTTGAGTGATATGCTGTGTGTGACAACTGACATTGAGCTGAGAGCTCAGAGGTCTGAATCTCCAAAAATCATGAGTCAGTGTAATGAAATAATGTCCAGCTGGAATGAAGAGCAGGCAGTGCTGGTCTGTTTATGGACTGATGACATGAAATGGAGGAAGCCAGACTCATCCTTTGCCAGTGGATGAATGGGAAGGAGGTACAGGGAGAAAGGGGGAACCCAACAAGAATGTTAAAATAATTAGAAAATAATACCACTTGGGAAGAATTGAGCATATTCAGTCAAAAAAAGAGTTGAGAAGAGAGGAGTCTGTCTGCCTGAATCTAAGAGATGTAGAGAAGAGGTGAGCTAATTATTTGAAGTCAACAAGAGCAGAGTAGTAATGTGTGTGAGGCAAACAGTGGGGAAATGGAGGTTGTCTGTTCCCTGAAACCTCTGAGCAGGAGGACAAAAAGCAGCAGAACTACCTCTTGTGGAGTAGGGGGTGTCTCTCTGGATTTTGCTGCTTTGTCCTCATTACCCCAAGGAAAAATAAGACAAGGAGAAGAGCCAGCTAAACTGTAACTGGACTCTTTCAGACAAGGAAAAAAAATGTATCCTGACTGCTCATGAATCAGTTCAGACTGCAAGGTAGAATGTTTCTAGCCATTAAAGCAGTTTGTTTGTAGCTCACTATCTAATGTGGCAGCAGCATTGGGCTCAGAAAGCTTCTGCATGGATTAAACACGACAGATATTCCTGAAGTGTTTTTCTCAGGTTGCTGGCAAACACAGAAGATTTTATTATCCTGTAGAAATGTTGATTCCTGGAGCCTAGATGGGTAAAACTACTAGGGAGCCTTGCTGGCAGCTCACTGATCAGACTGTTTCACTTTCTACTCCTCTGTAAAAAGGAATGGAATCTCTTTCACTTAACAAAAAGAGGAGCTGATGAGACACAGCATGAGGAATTAGGGCTCAGCTCTGCAAGCTGAATGTTTCAATGGAATATTTTCTTAGCAAGGCTTGTGTGATCAGCCCTTTTCCTCCCCAAAAAGCAATGTCAATTGAGAGAGACTCACTGAGGGAAATGAGTGAATTGTAGGAAAAAAGTCCTACAGGGAAAGTCATGGCTATTTATTTCTGATTTAGGCCTCAGATAATGACTTTGAATTAACATCTGTGATTGCCGTAGTGGTAAGAAGACACTGATGCACAATAGTGCAAAAACCACTTCATGGCAAAGAAGGCTGGGAAGGAAATAACAGGTTTTTAACACATAGAAGAGTTCAACATGTCTTTTTCTGCTAAGGGGTCATGTACATGCTGAAGGTGAACAGTGTTACTAGAAGGGAACAAGGCATCTGTTCAGTCTACAACTGCTGCCATTAAGATTCATGTTTCATACATAGTGGAGTCCTAATTTACTCTTGGGTACTTGCAGCGGATTCTTTGGGCTGGAGGGAAGAACACACCTTACAAACTGTGGGTTTGTTTTTTGCCTTTGCATTTTACATTTGAACAAGATTTCTGTTCACCACCACTAATTCCTCCATGAAACTAAAGCCCAGACTCTTCTGCTCTGCAAGCAAATAGCTGGGGAGCACCAGTGGGCAGTGGGGTAGGGGATGAAGCAGAAGTGTCAGAACAAGCCCAGCACAGCTGGTGGCAGAAAGCAGGAGCACAGCAAGTAACTTGGCCTGCCTGGGAGTGGTGGGAAATCTCCAGCTGGAACAGCTTCAGTGTTCAAATGAGGTGTCCAGAACGTTTTGCACAATGTGAGCTTGATGGGCTTCAGGACATATTGCAAAAGCCATTTACTTGATGGCTGTTCTGACAGGCCTTGCAGCAGGAAAGAAAGGCTCTGCCTTTGGAATTTTGATCTGAGCTGGGATGAAGATTGTGGAGCGGTCTGGGTTTTCCACTGACTCTTGACTGGTGTTAAACTCCCCTCCCTTTCGAGGGTTAGCACTTTTGAGGTGTTATGAGCTACAGAACTTGATTTAGGAACACATCATTTGCCCTAATGAGGAAAATACCAGAAAAGTTTGATGCAGGTGGTGAACTGAGGGCACTTTGTTTTCTTGACTGGTTGAGTTAAGCCACGATTTATAAATAATTGTGTTTTCCTGCTGGATACTTATCATGTGTAACTGTGAGCCAAAGTATCCCTGGGACGCTCTGAAGCTCTTCATGTGGAGATTTTATTATTTAAGTGATTATTTCTTAAGCAATATTTTAGCTGTTGCCAGGGTTTGATCCCAGAATCAGAAAGGTTCAGGTTGAAAGGGACCACACTGTTGAATCTCAGACATATTCTCGCACAGGCTCACGTCTATTTTGAGGGAAAAAGGTAAATGCTTGAGATTTTCCTTTTTTTTTTTTTTTTTTTCCCTCCCCTACATTTGTTCACTGTTTGCTCCCAAAGTAATTTGTGTAGCTCTGCACTGCAGTCATCCACCAGTGGGCCTGTTAATGCACACAATGTACCCTTGCAGCAAAGCCTTTAGGATGTTTTCACTGTAGCATGAAGCTGCATTGGAAAGATTGAAACTGCACCAAAAATTAAAGGATTTTTTTTTCTGCTTCACCTGGAGAGGGAAAATGAGCATCACTCTCTTGACAAGAGATGAAAGAAAATAGAGAAAAAATATTTTTGGGCCACACATCAGAGCACTTACTTGCAGTAATTCTCATCATGGCATTTGACTTGCCTTTGTTGAATCTTGATTTTTCATGTATTAGACACCTATGGCATAGAGCTCTACTGAGCAGAAAATGCAGTTTGTGTATATATTTTCCAAAATAAAGTTGAGATGAATTGAAGTGGGAAGCAGCACCGAACATTTTTACATCTCTTTTTTGCTGGGAAAGAAACCACTGCTTATTCTGGTGAAATAACTTTAAGTTCAAACCTCGGTCTGTGCATCAATCAATGTTGGGCATTTATAAAATTAGGAGAGCAATTTAGGCTTCAGAGGTTAATTCTGTACCCCACCTGGGTAAATGTGGAGTGATTTGGTTGGGGACGGTCATGCAAAGGTGTCTGATCCAAATGTCTCACTGTCAGTGTCTCTCCTGGATTTCCTGTGATCCCTTGTGCTCAGAGTAAAGCCAAGTTTGTGTGCATCAGTGCAAGGCTTGGGAGCTGTTTGTCCTTCTGTCCCTTTATTTGGAAAATTCTCAATATTGCAGGGAGTCCTGGAGGCTCAGGCTTAGGATTTTGTAATAAGAAGAAAGAGGAACTCTTCTCAAGACTCAGCAAGAAGCTGAAATGTTTTGGAGAGACTCCATTTAAAGCAGCAGCAGCTGCTACTACAAGGGGGGATTTTGTTTTATCTTGAAGCCTCTGTATTTGGTAGGGTGTTGGTAAATGAAGGAGTAGGTGAAATCATTTGGGGCAGTGGGTGGAACTGTGCCAGGTTGAAGGCAGCTGAACTGCCTTGCCCTCGGTGCAGCTCTGACAGCAGCACAAAGGCAACTGTGAGCAAGTTACTTCAGGTGTGGAGTAACAGAGGGAGTTGGTTGGAGATGGGAGATAAGTTTTTGCTCTAGTTTGAGTACAAGAGGGGAAGCATTCTCAGCCTCAGAGGCATCCAGTGCAGTCACCATTGCCAGTCTAGCCCAAGGGTGTTGAATAGGAAAAGCTGTTAATAGAAGCACTCAAGATGGAGATAAACTTGTCCAACTGCAGACTTCCAGGGATGCTCCGAGCCTTTTAAAGGTCAGTTAAGAGAAACAGGCACTTTTGCAAGGCAGTGCTCCATACCTGGAGGTGTTCAAACCCGGGCTGGATGGGCTCTGAGCAATCTGGTGTAGTGAAAGGTGTCCCAGCCCATGGCAATGGGGTTGAACAGAGATGGTCTTGAAGGTTCCCTCCAACCCAAACCACTCCATGATTCTATCTGGAGAACTTCCATAAAGTTGAAGAGTTTGGTCCCACTGAGTTGTGGGTTATAATTATGAGATTATCAGGATTTGGGATACAGCTTGAACGTCCTTGGTTTATGCCACAGTTACGCTTCTGAAAGTTGTCACTTGTCACCTCCGTGTTTTTGGCTGTAGCGTTGATTTTGTTAAGAAATTTCCATTGTTCTGCCTCCAAGAAACAAAATGAGAAACAAATGTGAGGGTGTTCCAAAGAGTTCCTGGTTTGTCTGAAAATGGAAGATTACAAACCTCTGCTTTGGTAGTGGGTGATAGTTGAGCCCCAGTTGACCACAGCGGGGAATATCTGATAGATTGCTGCAGTTGGCCATTAGACAGAGCCCAGTTGGGACAGAGTTTCAATGACCAAATTCTTCTTGCAGAAGTGGCAGTGTGTGGAAGATGCCAGTGGAAAGCTGAAGCTGCACAAGTGCAAGGGAATGGCGAACTTGGCAGCTGCAGGGAACCGCAAAGGCACCTCCAATCTCTTACCCAAGTACTACAGCAGGAACAGGGAAGACTGCAATTGTGAGGAGAATGAATACAAGCTGAGCCACGTTGGGCAAAGAAAGAAACTCTTCTCCAAGAAAAGTAAGTGAACCCACTGCATGTTGTGTCCCTGCCCTGGGGAGCTGTCACAGGTTTGTTCTCTAAAGGGTACGGTCCTCGCTCCCATGGGTGTTCTGTCTGCTTGTTCCCTGTGTGTCCTCTCTGTCAAACAGTGGGATATTGGACAGTCAGTCTGTCTGTAGGAAGAATGTTTTGTTCTGGGAAGTGCGGTGCACACACTGACGTGGCAAATAGCACGTGGTTATATTGGCCATGGAACATGAACAGTGTTCTACAGCAAATCCTCCAGTTTTCTGTAGCTACTGCAATGCTTGGGGCTGCTGCTGCAGTAATTTATTTTTAATAAGGATGTGTGTGCTTTGTTACAGAAGCTGCTGGCTTCCAACGTCCTTTCCTTGTGCTCAGTCAGCAGAGACAAGGCTGACTTTTAACCAGAGATAACGACCAAAGGGGATGACTCTGCTTCTAGTTCCCTTGGCACACATCAGGTGCTTTCTTTAGAAAGCCCATTTTCCTGACCTTACTCAGACTAACACATATATTTGAAGTATATAGCCTAATTATAGATTAGAGGCAAATGGAAGCACGGAATTATTAGTGACTCGTAATGTTTCTTTCGTCTCACTCCACAAATACGGAACCTTAATTATTTAGCAGATTAGTCTTTCTGTATAATGACCTGGCACAAACTTCAAACAGAGTTTAAATTGATTTTCTCCCATTATATTTGCTTGGCAAGCTGATTAGTAGCTACTAAGCTAATTTTTAGTTGAAAAAAAATTACTGGTTCCAGGGTGAAATTACTCAGCTATATTTGATGTTTAAATATGTGGCACAGCAGATTATCTGGTGTTATTTAAACACTAGAACTTGCACTTAATTGACTACTTCCTTTTTTAAAGTCCCAGAGAAGAAAGTTCAGTCCTGGGGATTCAAATAACAGGTGAAGATTGAAGGCACTTAAATGAGAAGAGGAAAACAATTTAAGTGAAGCCAACATAATGCTATCTGATAGCACTTAACACTTACTTAAGTGCTTTTCCTCAGTGCTTTTCTAAACATGAACTAATTTCCACAACATCCAAAGGAGGTGGTTAAATGCATAATTACCTTTGGTTTATGTATGTGGAGAGGCTGAGGCAAAAACGTGAAAGTTGCTCCCTGCAGCAGAGGACTCGGAATGGTGTGTTTTTTCCCTGTGTTCTGCTCAGAAGAGGCAAGAGTTCACACCTCAGCTCCCTCACCTCCTTGAACCTCAAGGCATAAACTTCAGCAGCTCGAGATAGGATCTTGCCAATTAGGTTGCCATTGCCCGTGTCTTAAGTAAAATAATTGCCTCCACTGATGCTTTGTCTCTCCCTTTGCCCACATCCTGTGCTCTGCAGGGAAGAGGTTCACTTGGACCTGTTGGCAGAGATTCTGGGATTTGGTGTTGGCTGTTCCTTCCCCTTCCCTTGTCCAATCTGTCCAAATGCAGCTGAGCACAAAGCAGGGCAAGTCAAGGTAACAAAAGGAGGGTTTTCTAAACAGCTCATGTGGAAGGCTGGGCTGTGTGTAGTGAGAGGGAACCTGGATACTCCTGATGTGTATTTGGCTTTTTATGATTTGTTTCGTGAGACTTGGGATGAAGTGCAGTCTGTGCTGGGTTGTTTAGTCCTTCGGGCACCTTTGGGGTCGGCTGCTCAGAATTTGCTGAGTGCCTGAGATGATACTGCAGGCCTATTTGAATGCCAGTAAATGCTGTTCATAGGATTGAACAATTGCTAAATAGAAAATAGACCTTTCAAACTGGACTAGGGTCATGTCCTCATTAATGCTGTAGTTTTGAAAGAAGTGCCCTGACCAACCACTCCGTCCTGCTGTGTGCAGAAGAGACTTGCAGAGGGCGGTTTTGAAGGATTCTGATCCACAGACACCTGCAGAAAACCAGGCTGGATGCCCTGCATGTCTGGTGCATCAAGCACATGGCAAACCCTAATGGGGTACAAGGATTGGCCTTTCAGAAAGATTAAAACCACTTATGAATAGTGAGAACAAGTGATCTGAAAGGCCAGACTAAATTGCTGATAGAGGGGCTGGAGCAGCAAATGTTTTGATAAAATAATTCCTTTCTGATGACTCATTTTCAGGTGCCCCAGTGCATTTAGCAGGCAGCAGTGTTCTTTAAACTGAGTCAAGTCAGTTATAAAGTGGGATCATGTCATGTTTGGGCCATTTGGGCCACCTAAAAATGCAGAACTTTTCCACAAGGCTTTTAAGTGCCAGAAACACATGGGCATTAATATTTGGTGTAATCTCGGTTTAGGTGTCAAGAATGTTTGAATTTTTGCAAACATTTTCTTTAGCATGCTTTTATAAGGAAGATGAAACAGAGCTTTGCAGTAGGTAGAAAGTTTAAAGTACTAGTGAGCTCTTAAAATCTTCAGCTCTCTTGTGGTCTGTTGTGTTTTTATTGCTGTGGATTTGATCTCCCTCTCCTGTGATGAGCAAGTGTATGTGATTAAAGGAATTCTCAAGCTGCATGTAGGGAAATGATGATAGGCCACACAGATTTGTAAACAAACAGAAGTGTGTACAAAGGGCTTAGTGCATTATTATTCCAATTTTCCTGTCATTCATTTTTCCTTTGAGGTCGTCTCAATGCTGGAGCAAAATGGCATTCTTTGTTGTTAAAAAAGAAAAAATAATCAGTTACGTTAAAGATAATGCATTTGAAGTATGATTTTTCATAGCTGTTGTGAGTAAATGGGATACAAGAAAATTTTGTGGGTTAGGTGTTTTTTCCTCTTTGAAATATCTAGGGACACAGATTCAAAACATTTCTAGAATTCCCTCGATACACTTCATCCATTTTCTAGACACTGGAGATATTTTTTAAAAAGGTCTTTAAAGTGCCTAATTTTACTTTGTGTTGTGGAAAAAAATTGCTTGTTTGTCTACCAAATGCAAAATATATAGATGTTAGTGGGAAATGCTCCTTTCAGGTTCCAGTGAAGACAGACATGCTGGTTGTGTGACCCAGGATGACCCAGCTGGCTGAACAGGGCACTGAAACCAGTTGGCTTTCTTGGCTTCAGTTTTTCTGGGTTTTGAGACTCAGTTTTGGGGTTGCAGCTTCTCAGCAGTTCCATCTTTAAGGCAGGCAGTTTCTGGAGTAGCTGGGGAAGAGAAGCATTGGGACTCAGCTTAGCTTGAATAACTTGAAGACGAGAGTGTAGATGGTTTGGGCCAAATATTTAACAGCTCAGGATCTGCTGTTTTTGGGCTGTGTACAGAGGTAAATCGATTGGAGAGTAAAACGTGAACCTGGGGGAGGATCGACTAATAAGTAATTAAACACTGGTATTTATGCCTGCAGTGCACTTTGCAGGTGGGAGAGCCCAGCACGAATGAATATTGATCTCATGAAATATTTTAACCACTTCCCCAGAAAATGGTGGAGTTTGGTACTGATCACAGCACGGTGTCAGCCCTGGGTGGCTCGTTGGATAAAGGGCTTCCAGCTCTCCTTTGGGAGCTGCCTCACTCCAGCCCAGATTGTTCCCTGCGAGGCTGGGTGGGTTTGGCTGCACAGGGAGGGGTAACTGCTGGCTCCCAGCTCTTCAGGGATGTGTGTAGATGATTATCTGTGCAGGTCCAGCATGCTGGGTTTGGCACATTAGACTTGGAAGGAAGATAAACGTTAGTTGGGTGAGCTGAACAAGATGAAACGAGGGAGTGATTAAAGAAATGGGAGTTTATACTTTGAATCTAATTGTTGGGGTGTAGCTTTTTGGAACTTTCTCCTGCATCTGAAAAGATGGGAGTTTCCTTCTCTCTTAGTCAAACATTTCCTGAATGGTTGCCTGCAGTAAGGCTGGTCTTTTGTGACTTTTTTTATCCCTTGAGCAGTGACTCACCTGGCTTAATATCAGCAATAAACTTTGAACCACAGGTGGAAAATGTGCAAAGCCGGCAATCCAGCTGCTATTCTACTTTCTGTGTGTGGTGCTGACAAAAATATAGTGCTTGGCCCAGTTTCAGGTGAGAGCAGATGTTTATTTCACTTCCCACAGTCTGCAAAACGGCTTCTGAGACTGTGCAGCCTATCTGAAGTGAATGTAAGGCTTCTTGAAAAAAAATCACTGCATCAATGCCAAAGCATGACAAGTATTTCTTTCGTCAATTTTCGTTGTTCATAACAAATGTTTCGTTTTGCTTTTGGGCTGCAAATTCAGAAGCAAAGTCTGAGGGAATGCAGAGCACTGGAGGGTGGTGCTTCCTGGAGAAGCTCACTGAGATTGGGCTGCACATCAGGAAAATAACTGTGAAGCAGAGAATGGGATGTGGATAAAAGTACAGATTCGGATACTAATCCCTCCTGAAAGAATCAAGCATCCAGCCTTGGAGTATGAACACAGAAATGAGAAAAGGCTCAGGCTGCACACGGGGGATGCTGGGACAAGTTCCGGGAAGAGCTGGGGAATCCTGGCGGAGGAGCTTTGCAGGGAGGGCAGCAGGAAGGCAGGGCCGTGGGTGGGTGAGGGTGTCCCGGTGTGCCTGGCGGGGTCGGTGCCCGAGGTGCGGCTGCCGCCTGGTGACCGCGGGGAGCGGCAGCGCCCGCTCGAACGAGCTCTTTGTTCTCAGCGAGGCCAGACAGGAACGTTCTCCTTCCCCTCTGCCACTGGTTTGTGTTCGCACTGCACCTGCCCTCTCCCGAGCTGTGGGGTGTCCGTCCATCCTTCTGCCCGTGCCAGAGGTGAGGAAGCAGCAGCTCAGAGGAACAACTGCCACAAACACTGTTTGTCTGTCCCCTTAATTCCAAACAGCACAGTACGGGCTGGTTGTTTTCCTCCCAGGAACCACAAAGTGGAGTGAATTGTAACGCGCTGCTTCTGCCCTTCCTTCATTTCTTTTTCCACGCAGAATTCAAACCAAGCTATGTCCGGAATCGCTCCGTCCGTTCCGTGTCCGTGGAGCTGGAGGGAGCTGTTTATAGCCTGGGTTTGGAGGATGGATTCCAGCCCATCTTACCAAGGAACATCTCCAAGCAGCGCAGGGTGCAGAGGGCTGTTCTGCACGAGGAGGAAGACAGAGACATGGGGGAGTACAGTGGCACTGGTGGCATTGCAGAGTACACAGCCCCTAACCTGATCAAAGTGACCCACAGGTGAGTGCACGGGGTAGAGTTTGAGAAGATTTTGCTGCTGAAGTGGCTGCTGTACCTAAACGGGTGGGTTAAAGTGTGCTTAAGCATATTGTGCCCCTGTTGGACACCTGGTCTAGCTTCACCAAAATTGTTATTCCAGTCTGTACAACAGTGTTTGGTTCTGCTGCAGTTTTGTCAGTACAGAGGCTGAAGATGCAGCTGTGCTTTTGTGTCTTCTGCACTGGGTCGAGGCAGCAGTCACAGATCAGGGCATTTTCCAGTGAGGACAAGCAAAACTGTTTGCAGCAGTTACATGATCACTGTGTGACAACAGGAGGGGCCTTGCCCTTGGAAATCAGTGTGCAGGGGGTGCCCTGGCCTGGCTGGAGTATGAGCTGGTTTTGTGTCACTGGGTGCTTTGCACAAGCTTTCTATAACCAGTGCTAGGAAAGGGAAATCTGTGTTATGAATGAAGTTGGATGGGCCAGGAGCCTTGGGAAATGGAACATACTGGGAGAGAGGGAAGGCAATTGTCTGAGCACTCTCGTGGGTCAAAGTAATTTCCTCAGGGAAATTTCCTGGGGACTGATGGTGTCTTTTCAACTGTACCTTAATGAGTTTAGTCACCATTTCCGCTTGGGAATTATCAGGAAAACCACCAATCATTATTGAGTGTCATTAAATTGTTTGATGACTAACTCATGTGAACATGCAGGACCCAGTTAACTGCTCTTGGTATCTGTGTTTTCAATTTGATTTCTGTTCACAGAAGTGAGTTGGAGACTTGCCAGTAGGAGGAAAGGTAGCCAGGCTGGCATCAGAGAATTGTCCTCTTACCCCAGCTCTCATGAATGTTCAGGACCCTTAAATCACTGTTTGTGCTTTTCTTCTGGAACAAATTTAATCGACTTTTTGCTGCCTTACTGGGTGAATCCCAAATCCATACCAGGAACTGTCAGGAAGGTTGTGCATTATTCATGAGCACTCCCCAAGAACACTGGCAGAAAAGAAGACAGTGGGACAATATGCATGAGGTGGTTTAAAAAAAAAAAAAAAAGGAGAAAATAAAGGAGTAAATAAAAGAGATTTAATTTAAACAAGCATTCAGAAATGACTGTGTGGTATTTGACCCTAATGAAGTGCTCAGGTACAACTGTCAGGTGGTGATTTTTTTTTTTTTGCTTGCTTATGAGAGAATTTTAAAAACTGGATTTTACTAGAATTTAGTGAAACATAAGGACTTAATATAGTCAGAGGGTATTTTGCCTTTGAAGTCAGGGAGACAGGCTCAAATTTGAATCCTTTTCGGAGAAAACAGCAAAATTTCTTTGCATCTGGTTTGTTCTTTTGGTTGTTTTTTTTTCCTTTTCTTTATGGTGTGGTAATACATCTTAGATTGAAGTACTTTATTGTTGCCCCTTCCCCTACATCACTTAGTTATGCACTGGGAAACTGCTTCTGAGTAATGCCCTCAGTGCTTGCTAGTTAGTAGAGATTTATTCAGACAGTCTAATGAATAAGCAAGAACTCCGTGCAGCACAATTTACATACAGAAATTAAGCAGTCAACAGGTTCTGCTTGATGGAAATAGTCTCCTTGAATTCTCCTAGTTCTTTAAAATTTCCATGGCAGCTCTAAAGCCAGACATCTTCCCTGGCTCAGAACATGCTGGTATTCTCCTGAATGAATATTGCTTTTTGAATCCTGCATGTCATTTGCCATCCATGGTCCCGTTTGTCCTGGAGCTGTGTTATGAAAAGCTGCTGTTTGTTTTGCTCTGTGTGTGTGTGTATATCCCCTGTAACAAACACTGTTTGCTTTTCCGTGCCAAGGTGTTACATCCTGGAGAATGACACTGTTCAGTGTGACACAGATCTGTACAGGTCCCTGCAAGCCTGGAAGGACCATAAACTTCATATTGACCATGAGGTCAGTGCTGGTGTCAGTGTGTGTGTTTTTAGCAGGGTTTTCTGTGGGCTGATAGGATCGTGCTGACTGTGTGTGTGTCTGTCTGCCCCTGGGTGTCTTTGTCCCTCCTCTCTGGAACCTTTTGAACTTGCTGGCTGATTTCTGAATAGACATTTCAGGGATAATTAGGCTTGCACAAGTTTGTGAAGACAGGATGGTGAGTGGAGGAGAGAACTGTTGTGGAAGGTAGTGAAGAGGAAGCCTTTGGTGACAGCACAATGAACTTGAGAAGGTTAGAATAAGACTAAATCATCCTGTATTTTTTAACCTCTTTTTTTTTTTTTTTTTCAGATTGAAACCTTGCAAAATAAAATAAAAAACCTGAGGGAGGTGAGAGGTCATCTAAAGAAGAAACGACCCGAGGAGTGTGATTGTAACAAGATAAGGTATTTCTTGTGTACTTCAGAATAATTATTGGAGGTGTGAAACTGTAACTGATTTATCTCCTCACAGGAGGCATCAGGATCTGGTTTGTTCAGTGGTTGCTGCTTGCCCTGAATGTGCTTTCAGCGGGTTGGACTCCTGCCCAAGTACACGACACACCTTCTCCCAGGCAGCAGTTTAATTGCCTGTGTCAAGTGGTGATGATGTAACAGGGCTTGTAAACCAATTAGTTCTGCTCTTGTACTGAAGATGCTGCTGTTAAATATCAGAGATGAATATTTTAAGCTGCAGGGTTTTTTCTGACAACTCTGACACGGGCGAATTGTCATCATGGTGCAGTTACACAAACCTGTTACAGAAACAATAACGTGTGAACTGTATGGGTGGGGGAGGAGGGGATTTCTTCCCATTCAGGTTTTTTTCAAGGCTGGATGTGTTATCTGCTAAGATGAAATCACAGCTACATCTGTTGGGAGAAGCAGGAATTTACCAGCTGGTGCAGTGTTACCTGTGTTTGTAACCACCACTGGCTCAGGGCAACAGGCATTTCTGTCCCTGCCACAGATCACTTGTGCATGAAGTGTAGCAGGTGCTGGAATAGTGATGAGCTGCCATCGTCTCTGCATTGTTGGTTCTTGTTGCTTCTTTTAATCTTGTGCAAGATTAAAAAAAACTGACTGAAGGAGATAGCTCTTTATTGATCTTATCTGTTAATTTGCTATAAGGATTAAATTTATGAAAGCTCCCAATAGCATTAAGAATTAAAAAGACTTGTTCTGAAGGGAATTTTAATTTGTGAACTAACTGAATTCAGAACAACAACATCTATTAAAGTTTGTGTTTGCTGATGTTTTTGGGTAGTGACTTTAGTAGTCAGAAAACATTGCTATTGGCTGAGGCTGTTCTGCCTCAGAATACATAAGGCACTGCTCTTGCTGGGACAGCTCAATCCATCCTGTTAGCTTCGCTGGAACTTCCAGCTACCAACAAAGGGCCCAGCCCAGTCGAGCCAGGCTGTCTTTATTCACTGTACACTAAGGAATGAAGGGAGAGGTGACACTGGATTAAATCTGCTTCAAACCCAGTCTGATAGTGTGGTACAAATAGGGGCCCTTCTCTCTGTTGTTCACCAACAATGCTGTTTTTTATTTTCCAGTTACCATTCCAAACACAAAACCAAACTGAGGCACAAGGGATCCAGTCTTCATCCTTTCAAGTAAGTGAAGGGCTGTTCCTTTTGAAAGAGGATGTGCCAAGACATTATAACATTTGGACTGTACAAACTAAGCAGAAGTACTGGTATCTCCTTTATCCTGTGTTAAAAAGCATAAACACAGAGACACTGGGCAAGGAACTAGGCCCACACCAAAATGCTAGAAAATTCTGAGATAAGGTTCCTGCTTTGGGAAATGTCCTATCACAGACCTCAGGCGAGCCCTGGAAGTCCCTTTGGCTGCATTTTTATTTTCCAGCGCTGTTGAACTGCAGAGTCATCTCTGTTTGGCAGAGAAGCCATTTAATTCAAAAGATGTTGATTCTTTCCCTCAGAGCAGCTAATTTGTATGAGCTATTTGGGGTTTTTTAGGTGCATTCCAGTGTACCAGAGTTTGCATGACCCCGATGTTTTGGTGTGTGCAGGAAGGCCCTCCAGGAGAAGGACAGGCTGTGGCTGCTGCGGGAGCAGAGGAGGAAGAAGAAGCTGCGCAAACTGCTGAAGAGAATCAAAAACAACGACACGTGCAGCATGCCCGGCCTCACCTGCTTCACCCACGACAACCAGCACTGGCAGACTGCTCCCCTGTGGACACGTAAGGATGCTGTGAACTCGGGAGGAGGGTTCTGGCTGGGCTGGGCTGGGCTGGTGGGTTACTGGATCCGGGTTCCATTGCCTGTGTATCCAAAGCTGTGCAGTTTGCCCCAAAGGAAAGAATCTGTTTCAGTGCTGCACAAAAGGCAAGGGAGGTAAAAACAACTGCAAGTAACCAGCAGACAGCAGTGTACACTGATGGGTGTGGTATCTCACCATCTGGAATGTTTCCCAGCTGGACAAGGAGCTGCTTTAATTCCCCCTGTCACGGGGTGTGCACGGAACAAGAGGCTGATGCTGGAGGGCATTCTCTGCTTTAGAGCTCAGGAGTGAGAGTTCCCCTCTGTGAATGAAGTAATGCTACAAACAGAAATAATTAGCAGTGCTAAAGACTGTAGCTGATGCCTTTGTAACTCTTCAATTTGCAGTGGGCCCTTTCTGTGCCTGTACCAGTGCCAACAACAACACGTACTGGTGTTTGAGGACAATCAACGAGACCCACAACTTCCTGTTCTGTGAATTTGCTACTGGATTTTTGGAGTATTTTGATCTCAATACCGATCCATATCAGGTATCTGATCACAGACCTCAAGCTCACAGCTCAAGAAATGCAGCATTTTTCCCTACTGATGATCAAATAGCACAGTATTGCTGCAGGATGTAATTTAAGGCCCGTATCACTGAAACCAGTATAATTTGGCTCTTTCCTGTTGCAAATAAACAACCTGCATTCCATATATGAAAGCCATCAAACCACAGAGCAATAGTTACCAACAAGAACCCCCTCTTTATTGCAGCTGATTAATGCAGTGAATACGCTCGACAGAGATGTTCTCAACCAACTGCATGTCCAGCTCATGGAACTCAGAAGCTGCAAAGGGTATAAGCAATGCAATCCAAGAACCAGGAACATGGATCTAGGTAAGTGCCCTTCCTGTTGTTGCACTCACAAACTCCCCAAAAGGAAATGGGAAATATGAAACTTAAATCAGTCAAAAGAATTTTAGTATTTCTTAATACTGGTAGTGTCCTGCTGAGGCTGGTAACTGCATGCTTAGGTTTTTGTATGTGTTCAATTTGTGTTACGTGTAATGTTTTTAAAATTAAGAATGACACTTAAATAGCCTAGTGATGAGTGTTACAGAGATGCAGAAGATGATGAGGAAAGATACTGGTGAAAGAGGGAAAGAATACCCTGATAGACCAGCTCAAGGTGGAAGAGACTTGTGGAGTTCTGCTCCAAACTTGTGCTCAGTGCAGGGTCAGATGTGAGGGCACACCAGGTTACTCAGGGCGTTGGGTGATCTGTCAAAGTCTTTTTTTAAATTGTCTTACCTGATACAGGCAATCCCTGGTAACATTGTTAATTTTTCTTCACCTAGGACTTAAAGATGGAAGCTACGAGCAATACAGGTACATTTTTTTTAAAAAATTACATTATTATTCTTAACTAATACCTTCAAGGTGAGGGAACAAGTGTGGGATTGGGAACCACATGGACAGGCATGGCCTGGAAGGGCATTTGAAAGGCCTTTCCCCCCCAGTTGCTTTGAAATGCTGGAGCTGTTTGTTTCACGTTCTAACTTCTAGTCAAAATTCAGGCTGAACTCTTCTCCTTCCTCATCTTTCAGACTGTAGTGCTGGTGGTTTTCTTGGTGATGGTTAACTTTTTTCTCCTTTTGCTGCTTGAAAATTAGGCAGTTTCAGCGTCGAAAATGGCCAGATGTGAAGAGACCATCATCTGCCAAGTCACTGTGAGTTGGGAGCAGTTCACCAAAAGCATTTGCTTTTACTTAGCTTTTTCCTTCACTTCTCTTTTTGCATGCAGCACCTTTTATAACATCATCATCTATTCTCATGGAAAGCTTAAAGTGGGAAGCCCTCTAAATTACACAAGAAATACAATACTTCCATCATTACTGACAAATGCTGCCCTAAACCTCTTGGTCCACGTTTTTTGGGACTGCAGGAGCATTGAGGTCAAGGCATTTTCAAATGAGTAAAGGCAGATGCTCAGCTGAAGAGACCAGTTATGGCTACCTGCCGGTTAAACTTAAAGACCAGTATAATGGTTTTGCCTAAATTTAAATTAGTAGCAGCTACTTTGAGGTTTTTCACCCAATCCAGGAAGAACAAAACTGATTGTAATTTCTCACGAGCAGAGAGAGTGTCATGTCCTTTTTTGCTCTTTGTCTGACCACAGCCTTCTGTTGTGAGCAAAAAAAAGGGAAGTTAAAACAGAAAGTAGACTACAAGACAGATTTGTATCTAGGACTGCTTTTTTCTTACTGAGCTGGCCTTTAAATCTTGACTATGCTGTTCAGTTCTCAGCCTGCCAGAGCTCAAAGGTGAGATACAAATTTGAGTACTTGAAAAGTTACCTTTGTCCATTCCTGTCTCTGAATCTCCCCTTAAAAAGAAGGCAGAGATTTCAGTTCACTGAACACCATGAAGAGCTCTCAAACTGAGCAGTGGAAAAAATATGCACAAGTCCCTTCCTAGACACAGTCTGGCCTTCTCCCTCGCCCAGGAGGATTTGCTCATGTTCTAGAGTATTTTTATTTCTAGTTGAAGAGATCTAGGACTGGCTTTAGAACCAGAGTGAAGCTTGAATTAACAAGCTTTGTACAGGCTGAAGTTTCAAACAGTTGGATTGTTTGTCATACACGTGCTGTGGTTTTATAGGTGGTGCACATTGTTTTTTTACTGCATGGAATCATTAAAAATATTTAACTGCTTTCTACTAGAATGTTATACACTAAAACTGTGTTTTTGTTTTATTTTAAAGAGGACAACTGTGGGAAGGCTGGGAGGGCTAATCTCCCCAACTGCTGCACCTCCATGAGGATACAAACTGGCCAGAACTTGAATCCATGTACAGACTAAATGAATTGTAACATTAGCCTGAAGGACTGGATAAACTTTGAGGCTGAAATAGATAGAATGTTTGCACTGGTGAGTGAGTTAAATAGAGGCAGTGAAACTGTGGGACATGCTGTCAGAAATACAGGTCTCTGAACTCCACTATTGTACCTGCTTTTTGCTTTGGATTATACCTCACCTGCTTCACGAGGCATTTTACTTCCAGAACACACAAGTAAGGCTGAGCCAGGAATTGAGAGAAGAGGAAGCACAGCCCCATCCCAAAGAGCCATTCCAGCGTTTACAGGGACAGCTGAAGGAACTCCAGACGATTTTCAGTTCAACTCTATCTTCAGTTGTCACGAGAAACACTTCACAGCCAAGTATAACTCTAAAGCAAGATTTAGAAAACATGGATGCTTTTCCATCTGCTGGGGTAGAGGCAGTGGTTGAACAGAACCTTGAGCAGCACTGAGCGTTCTCAACACCACGACAATTCTCCAGTCCCCTCCGAGGATACGTTTTAGTTCCACGTCTGTTTGTCCATCCTTCTGCCACCTCGGTGCAGATCAGAGAAAATCCTGACTAACAGAGTTGTGGAGGGGTTGTGTAAAATATTGCTCAATATACTGTTTGCAAATCAATTCCTTCAGGTTGTAAAGAATTTTGTTAATAAAAAAGAGTGTAATGCCCACGCCCCGTTTTTCTCAAAACGTTACTTACTGTTGTCAGAATTCATCCATTTTGAGAAGCACTGAAAGTTTTAGTAAATGTACATCTCAAATTTTAACAACATGAGATTTGTATGAAGGTTTTTTATGTGGTAACAGCCTATTGTATGTACAAAACCAAAACAGTTCCTCTGAGAAAGCAGCGTTTGCTCAGCAGTGTAACTTTTACATTTATTTTTTAAAAAAGGCAGCTCTGAGAATTTCAATACTTGTAGTCAATAAACAATAATCTAGTTAATAGTTTAGTCTACAAAAAAAGTAGAAGTTCTGAACGACAGTTACTGTTTAAAGGCTTTTAAAGGGAAAAAAAACCCCCCACCCTATCATTTTACTAAAGCACAGTGTACAGAATTACTTGAGTATTTTCATAAGGACATTATTAAATACATTGTAGTACAGGCCATTGCAGCACAGGCACTGGGGGTGAGATTTGTATTTATACTTCCTGTTACTCTGCTACCTGTTTTAAAGGCACATGCCTGAGGGCACTCATGGGGCAGGACTGGACCAACTGTGGCCTTCACTCCTAACAAAGAGGTTCTTTTTCTTTTAAAACAGAAACTTAACTTGCTCTTTTAGAAATGTAGTGTAAAAAAAAAAAAAAAAACCCACAGCATTTTGGAAATTATTTTGGAACCCTTCCTGGTTTTGCACATAAGGAAAATCAAGTGGCATTACATCCAGCCATACAGATCTCTGGTACCAAACCCCCCTCTTCTCAGAAAATATACTTGGATTTAGGAACTAAGGAAAAAAACCAATAAGAACCCCCTATAAATCAACAAACTGCTCAAAAAGCAGAAGTGGTGGCTTGGTAAATGTGTTATACAGCAAGACTAGGTTTGCATATTTGTATTACATGTGGTAAGTCAAATATACTTCCCAAAATTTTCTTGCTTTTTTTTAATTATGGAAGTAAAATATGATTGCCTGTCCTAATCTAGCCATAGATTTTCTTTGTAACTTGTTACAGCTTTCATGGATTATCAGAAACATCTAGTAAATGATGATGAGATCCTGGATCAATACAAATAAGTAAAAAAGGAAACACAATTTTGCTGCTTCCCAGAGAAAAGTTTTAGCCATCTGCTAAACTTTACAGGAAGAATCTGAGGTCAGATTTTAAAAAAAATTGGCACTTACCTTTTTTTGTGTGTGTTCAGCCTTTAGTCCTTGGCCAGCTGAGGGTGTGATGGTCAAAATCCTGCAGGGCCCAGTGTTCCTGCTCCTGTTGAAAAAAGTCACCGTGTTCCTTTCCTCCAAATCCTGAGCTGTGGGGTTGTGTGGGACACAAGAAGCAGCTGCTGCTTTGTGAAAGGTAAGTAAGTTGTTGCCAAACTGGGGAAAGCTGCCTCCTCTTCACCTTCCAGCTCCTGTCCAAACTGCTGTTTGAGCTGACAAAGACAACACACCCCAGTTGGTCTGGATGCGAAATGGGGCTCATCAGTGAAAGGTCTCAGTTGTTGCTCCCTCAGCTTTTGCAGCCAATTAGGAAAAGATGTAAATCCTTCTCTGCACAGTTTTCCTCTGTGGCAGCACCAAATTTTCTCTGACCTTTGCAGGATACAGTCATGAACCTTAAAGTATTAGACAGCTAATCAAGCTCTGATTTTAAATAGAAACCTTTATTTACATTATTATTAACATCCAAACACAAAAGCCAGAAGGGCCGTAATACCTTACAACCAACTCTTTTATAAATCAGTCCCCATGATTTTTTCTGTTTTGCAAAATAAAGATACAGATATTTCAAGCAATACTTACAATGTAAACTAAACTTAAATGCAGTTCTCAATACTGTATGCCTTCTCCTGAGAATGTTTTTAAATATTGCTCTCAGAATTACATGGTTTCATACTTGCTGTATCATTCTGTCATCTGGTAGTCTGCACATAAATTCTAAAATAAAAGGTGTGCTAATTGGTGCAACATTCAAATAAGTTTTGTCTTGTGACTGAAACGTGGTCTGGAGTTTCTAACTTTGAAAGCAGAATTTTAGGCCAAGAAAAAGAGTATTACATATGAGTTTTATTAATAACCACATGGTTTCTGTGATTAAAAGAGACATGGAGAAAAACAACACATTTATGCAGCAGTGATCAGAGGTGGCTGTACTAGATAATTGATCTTTTACTCTTGAATAATGTTATACAGTTGTTTTTTAAAAACATTCAGAAAAACCTGCTGCTACAGAACCAAAGCAAAATTGATGGCAATAACTAAATGTCAGCAGATTTCAAACTAAGATGTACTATGCAGGGTTAGTGCTGCCAAGAAAGGTCATCAATGCTTTTTAAAAATACTCCCTCCCCCTTAATCAAGTTGAAACTAAAAATCTTTGGATTCAGCAAAAAAAAAAAAAAAAAAAAAAAAAAAAAAAAAAAAAAAAAAAAAAAAAAAAAAAAAAAAAAAAAAAAAAAAAAAAAAAAAAAAAAAAAAAAAAAAAAAAAAAAAAAAAAAAAAAAAAAAAAAAAAAAAAAAAAAAAAAAAAAAAAAAAAAAAAAAAAAAAAAAAAAAAAGGTACTGGAAAGCTCCAACAATCTAAACACAGATGAGAAAATGATGATCCTTAAAACATCAGTCAGGTACCAGTTAAACACAGATGTATAAATAGAATCACTTAAAAAAACCCTGTAGGGCAGGATGTATAATGCAGTCCACAGTCTAAGAGCTCACCTAATGAAAGCAACCAGGATTTGTAGTTTCCATCAATATAATGAACAACTACAAAATAAAAGATTGTTCTGCTCTGATCTGATAGAAAAAGCACGGGATTGTTGCCTTTCAGTGTCAGTAGGCAGCACTTCAAGAGATATGTTCTAAGAAATGTAAAAACAAAAAAAAAGAGAAAAAAAAGTTCCTCAGGCTTTTAAAAGTTCTGCATTAGAAAACACAGGTGAATCGGACAGAAGGTTTCCAGTAAATGCTGTCACCTATTGTGTGTACTCAGTGCTCATGGCAGAGATTGACTGATCTACATTCCCTTTGGAACACAACTGGCTGGATGGCTAAGGACGAATGTTTTGAGACTCGTTCTGTTTGGAGTTATTTCTATTAAAATGGAAGATCACTGAACGTTCTGAACAATAAAACCACCTCTTGCTGACGTACCAAGAACAAGCAATAAAGAATTTTGCACTCACTGGGGAGAAATCAGTTTTCCATTACACAATGAACAACAGAACAGGAGCACCACACATCATAAACGTTTCTTGGGTCCTCACTTAGGAAAGTTTGGAGGTTTGGTTTGTTGTAACTTTAAAAACTGCAAAGGGATCTTCATTCCAAGGCCCCAAAATGGAGGGGAACCCTCCCCCACACGTTATCAGCAAATAATATGTAACCAGACTGTAACTACTGATATCATAGAAACCTGCTTAGAAAATACATTCCTTCCTATTAGAACAGTCCAATGGAGGTGCAGACATTTGGTTCAAGTGTGGCTTCATATCCTTAAAGATTTCAAGATGTCATGTAACAACAAATATTTTGCAACAGACAAACATCTCCAAAGAACATTTAAGAGTTCATTAAAACTGACCAAAAAAGACACAATCCAGATATTCATCAGCTGAAAAGGTGACCTATTACAGAAAGACACGACTGTCCTGACAAGGTGGGACATCTTACAATGCAGAGCCTTTGTGTCAAACTGCCTTATGTAGAAAGACACGTAACAAAAGTGCTCACAGGTGGAGAAAGCATTTAACAACCGGTCTTTTTTTTAAAAAAAGCTATTATGTTAAAGATGTAAAAATAAATGAAGTGTTGAAGACCAAAAAAGAGAAATAACGTGGGTCAAAGTCACCCAGCTTCAAAGTCATTAAATCTAATTAAAGAAAAAATCTATTTGGACCTCGACTACGCTGAGTTTACAGAAATCAATTTTGTTAAATATTTAGCTTCACAAACTCTGCAAAAATGAGTTAGTGACCTACAAAAGTCATATATATAATACATTATCTTAAAGATCATATTTACAAAATTTATTCACAAAAAGACTGCAAAATTCTGATTCTGACTGCAGTGCCTTGCCTTTTCTGAAGTTATTTTCAAAAAAAAAAAGATGAAAGGTTATTGCTCTAATTTCCATACACAGAAAACATTACATTATGCAGTCTTTTCAAATAATTCTTAAGAGATTGTGTTTGAGAATGAACATGAGTACACCCCTACCTTCATATTAAGTCCTTATCAAAGATATTGCATTAATCCATTATATAGTCTTCTATAAAGTGCACTCAGCTGCACAGCAATATGTAAATATTAGTCACAACTGTGTTTAAATAATTTAAACTGTTTATCCTCTCTGTTTAACCCTTGGCTTCAGTGGACAGGATTTTGGACTAGAATGTGCCAATTCATTCTGCACTGCTACTTTGCTTGGGAAATCCCTAACTCTTGGGGGTAAGAGACTAAAAGCAGCATTTATGTTCAGGAGTTAATATAAAAAGAGTCAAGGCTAAGACTACATTCTCTGTCAGATACTCTTACTAGAGAAATCAAAAATTCTTACCACTGTGACTTCTCCAGGCACTTTTGTCTGCCTGTAGCTGAAGGGCTTTGGATACAGTAAACAGATCAGGAACACCAGGAGCCTACCCAGTAAACCTACTAAAATGCCATTACCAAATTCACATTTCTAGAGGAAAAGCGCCAAAAATATTAACGTTTTTTGTACTCCACAATATACAGTAATACAGAGACTGCTTCTACTAATTTTTTTTTTCCTTTTTTGGGATAGAGGGGGGTTTTTTTGGCTTATTTTTTCCTCTGAATGAAGTAACTTAGGACATCACGGTGATTAACTTAGCACTGTAAGCCCAGTCTGAGTCACCTTCCTTTCCAACACTAGTGCATCAGTAACAGCCTTTCTTGCTTGAAGATCTGGTTCTGGTGTCAGCAGTATTTCTGTTAAAGAAAAGAAGAAATAATCATCACAGAAAATAAAAAACACCTTTGCCAAAAAAAGAAAAAAATAGTCCACATACTGCATTTGGAAGAGGAAACTACTGATAAACAATGTCTGCAAGCAGAAAAGTAGCTTTTCAGTGCTCCACTTCTTTGAAAATAGATTTCTAGAAAAGAAATGCTTTTCCAGGATTTCCTAAACACACTATTTGGGTATCTTCGTGTAGGTTTGGAAAATGTGACATTTCCCCTTCATTTTCCCCTCTGTAAAAGGCATTTGTTGCATCAAAGTCCTCCAAACCCGTAATTATCGTCCTCAGATTATTTTCCTCAGATACCTCGGCCAAAATTTCATGAGGCACATTTTACTTGGCTAGATTTAGCTTGTGTCAATATTATGTTGCTCATCCCTTGGTATTTTGTGGAAAGAGTGCAGCAATATTTTGTAATTCATCTTTCTTTTCAGGGTCTATTATTAGCACATTTTCCCCCTCAGGGAGGGGCCTGTAGTTTCTGGCTATGCAGACACAATCGTGGATTGCTTCAAGTATCATCAATAATAAGGTGTCTCTTTGCACATAAAACTGGCAGGTCCCCCAGATGTAAATACGAACAGGGTAACTGAGCAGGAATGGATGGAAGCAGCCCCTGGCTCAGTGGAAAATCAGTCTGCACAAACAACTCACCTGGTCTGGACCCATAGGCATTCCTGACATAGGCATGGCATTAATACCCATCTGCCCCATGTGGCCACTGCTGCCGTTCATGTGCATCATGCTGTAGGCTGCTGGACTGCCCTGGTGGCTGAACTGCTGCTGGGGGAAAGAACTGAGGCACAAAAGGACAAATTAAATTACTTTCTGTAAAGTAAAACATAAAACTGTTTTCACATTTACTTGCTTCTACCCAGTATCTGTTTCAGGTAGAAACAAATTTCCTTCAAAAAATGGAATTTTGAATTTTAAGAAACACAGAGCAGTGTCTGTGTGCTGAGTGGAACCTTTCTGGAGGCTCCTGTTGGGGCTGTATCCTCCACTCTGATACTATTCTGAACTTTTGTATTGCCCCACAAGTTATTTTTTCAATATTTAAAGACTGAGTGTTGCTCCTGGTTACAAAGATTGCAGAAGTCCAATATGAATCAACGTAGCTAAGCATAAAATACACTTAATCACTCTATTTCCTTACCCAGAGGAGGATCAAGGACAATACAGACACCAGAAAGACAGTTATTTTTTCCTCTTCTAAATCCTTTTCCTACTACAAGCTATTTAACATAGTTTCTACTGTAAACGAAACAACAGACACTTTTTGAGAAGCAGGTTGTAACTGCAGTTCACCTGTTCCTGGCCATGCTCCCCGATGGCCAGCCCTTCATCTCTGGGGACTGGTACATTGTTGCTGGCTGAGGATGCTGCATCACAGGATTCTGCGAGGCTCCAATTCTTGATGATATCATTGGGTTGGGAGGGCTTGATACTCTACTAAATGCAGGGTCAGGTTGTTGGCTTAAACCTGAAAACAGAAGAGATACAACATACTTCAGTTATCATCACCTGGTACTTTTAATTTATCTTCTTGCAGCAATTGGAAGGGGAAATGTCATCCTTTTTTTTGTAGCAGTATATTCCATTTTTCAGAATATTTAGGTAGTTTGGGTTAATAAAAGACAGGGAAAAGAAAACCAGACAGATGAAAAAAAAAAACAAAAAAAAACCAAAAAACCAAAACATGTTAGTACTAGTACCATAATTAGGTGGATAGGGGAATTGCTGTGGAGGAACTTGAGCCATTGGAGGGCCTGTCAAAGCACTATCCATGCTTCCTGTGGCAGTCACATTTGGTGGTGGACTGAAGGCCTGAGGTTGCTGTTGCTGCTGCATCATCATTGCCATCCTCTGTTGTCTAAAATGGTGACTTATTAGTTCCCTGTTACGCTGAGCCACCATTTGAGCATTAAGAAAACCTTGCTGCTATCCCCCAAAGAAAAGAAAAATCACATTAGAAAATATTTTTACAAACGAAATCACGACAGAGTCAATCAAACCACCTGCACTCCTTCTAAGACCCAGCATATCCATTATCAGAACAGGAAGTAAAGAAAACCCCACAGCCAGTACAAAAAAAAATCATCAAAATATTGAACAAAGGTTTTCATTAAATTGTCATTAGTACTAAACAAATTATAAAGTCGATTAGATATATTCTACATGGAAAAACTATTGGCAAACTGAACTGATGACACGACCTAATGAACAAATCCCTCTGCAATCTCGGGAATAAGGGAGGTAAAAAACCCACCTTCTTTTTTAATTGTGCAGGGGGACAAAACCAAAGAGGAATGCTGTGGAATCATGAAAGAATGTCATCATTCCAAACAGTGTAATAATTACTTACCTGTGATCCCACCTGTGGCTGCATAACTGGTCTCATTGCTGAGGAATTTCCACTGACCGGACTTTCCATTTTCATTTCAAGCGTCTGACGGGTCTGATTCATAAACTTGGAAAAAGACATTTTAGCACCATTAGCCTGAAAGTAACAGTATCTCAACAAAGTAATGGCAACTCCTGCAAAAAAAATTTACTTACAGATTTCTTGAATGCATGAAGTGCAATGGTTAATTTTTGCCTTGTCTGATGTACCCAAAGAACCAAACGAAAACCCCTCCAAACAGTGCAGTACTACCTGGCTTTGGGTTTTTATTTCCCTTGAAATTAGCACTCTTTAAGAGTAAAGAGCAGACTATTTATTTCTTCCAATTCATGTTTTGGGTGAAATGATATGACCACTAGCTTTGCTTAAAATAATAAAAGTCTGCCTCCTTCCCTCTCCCTCACATAAGGCCAAAGCCACACAGATGGAACTGGTGTCACAGAAAACAAGAGAGAACACAGATTAAACATCATCATTCCACATCACACAGCAGTAGCTCAGTTTTCCAAGTTTTCTTTGTACAATGTATTTGATACCAGGCCTGCATTTCCACATGGGGAATTCCCTGCTGAAATCATGCACCAGTTTTTTAAGTAGTGCTTTCAAAATTGTGTTACCATCTATGTGGCTTTCACCTTTCATCCAAAAGAAAATACCTAAGTGAGCATGGACAAAGAGATCATCCAGAGCTACACTGTTCAAGAGCACTGTTTAGTGTGCTGCAGGAACCAACCCAACCTGTAGTTGGGGAGGCTGATGGAGAAAACACTTATAAAGTTCTTTCACTCCTACAGCCATCAGGCACTTGGTGAACAGCACCGTCAAAATGAAAGATCTGTCCTCCTGCAATCATCTGTTGCAATGTCCACTATTATATTTGTGAAGTAACACAATTCCATGTGCAGCTGTTTCCATTCTGAAACACGAAGGAAATGTGAATGAAGGAGCAAAAAAAATCACCTGCTGGCCCTGCAGCCTCTGCTGGAGCTGCATGCGGAGCTGCTTCGGTGTGTTGGTCCGAGGCCTCATCACGCTGGCCCTGGGATGGACACTTTGCAGTGGGAAATTGCTTGGTTGGCCCATCTGATTCATCACTGGATTGAAAGATGGCTGTTGTCCCTGGATGTTACTAAAACCTCCTGGCATTGCTGCCCCTTGTCCCTGATAGGGCTGAGCATATAACGAAGGCTTCTGATCAATCATAACAGAAGATTCCTGACCTTGAAATGAATCTTGTTTGGGTTCCAAAGCTTGTCCCTTCAACAAATACAAAAGTGCTTTCACTATGAAGTACATTCTTTAAGTAGGAATTCCTAGAGAAGCAGTAAAACTAACACAGCATAATACAACAACCAGCAGTTTCTTGGGTGCAACACAGCATGGACAGTGACTGTTAGTTTTCCCTCCAAACTAATGAAACAGCAAAAGTGACAATTAATAACTTTTCTTTTAAACCAGCTCTGCTGCACAGTGTGTACACAGGCAGATCAGTGCCGTTGTTCAAGCCCTTCCACACTTTTAAATGCTATTTGTACAAATGATTTTGTGTGTGTTAGCAAGTTCCAAATTATTCACAATTTCTTCCTTATTTGCTAGCCATGCAAATTGAAGCTGGAACTGAAGGAGATGGAAGCACACACGTCACTGCCAGTCAAATATTTCAAAACATAAGCTCAGTTGACAACAGGTTACTAAAAGAACCCAACACAATTCCCAGCTTATAGAATTATAATGAATTACACCCCAAAAACCACCTCTATACACCAAGGTATGCTACATTAAACTTCTACACGACTATGCCATTTTATCTTTCTTGTAAAGCACAAGAAGTTTAATCCATACTGAGCTTCTCCAATGAAAATCACTACTCAGTGTAGAGGTTTCCAAAGGCAGATGTAGGAAAATGAAGATTAGGAAGCGAGGAAAGGGAGTGAGTGAGGAGGCCCTTTTTGCTTTCTTTTCAAGTAGCAAAAGAATATAGGATTTTGGAAAATAAATGGCCAAAATCTCTGTTTACTTACTTGGCTTACAAGATCAGGAATTCCTAACGCTCTGTCGATTTCTTCCAGACCTGTGACATCTGTATTACTCAGCAAGGTGTGCAGCTGGTCCAAAAGTGCCCTTTCATCATTCTGGCCTTCCATACTTGGAGCTGAACATAAGAGGTCATCCAAAGAGTTTCTAACTAGTTGTCTATAAATATAAAAAACATTAAAATCATAGAATCATTAAGACTGGAAAAGACCTCCAAGATCACTGATTCCAAGCTGTGCCCAATCCCCACCTCGTCCCCCAGCCCAGAGCACTGAGTGCCACGTATAGTAAATCCTGGGACACCTCCAGGGATGGGGACTCCACCACTTCCTAGGGCAGCCCCTGCCAATGCCAGAACATCCTTTCAGTGAAGAAATTCATTACAACCACTAAAACCAAGCCCACAGTTTTATATAAAATACTGACCTGAAGATGATTTAAGTACGATAACCACCAGAAGACTGAAGTAATTATCGACTTTAGTCCCAAATTTAGGTCCTAAAAAGTCCAGTCCCTTTCCAGGTATCCTTGAACACAGGTAAATTCTGTTTTCTCCTGGCTTCTGCCATGTGCCACAGAGATATAATTTCAGATTTTCTCATCTCTTTTCTCCATGCCTCCCAACTCAGGGACTGATTGATTTTGTTAACAACGCCTTTTGTGGAGCTGGATTACAAGATACCCAGTTTCATATCAGCAGCAGAAATGGGAACAGATTCTGACTCCAATCTGTTATCCCCACTGGGTATGCTACACTATTTTTTTTTTTCCAGGTCTCAAATTCTTCTGACAAACAGTGAACAGCTGTATTTAAAATTATCTTCCAACCTTCCCCAACCCTACCTGTTCTGTGAGCCCCGGGACGCTTGCTCCACGGACAGCACATTGTCAGGCCACAAGCCAGGCTGGTTAGAAGGTCCAGGCTGTCCATATGGATTCCCTGCCATGCCAAGGTTCATCTCATTTGGCCCTGTGAGGTAAAACATTTGTGTGTTGTTAAAAGACTGAAGGTGTCATCTTGCTCTGCTGGCGTTTAGAGAAAGCATTGGGAAGGATTGTGCAGATCTGCCAAGCAGCTTCACCAGCTTTCCATGAGCAGGTTTTACAGTGCAGACACACATAAACTCCCACGCAACATAATTTCAGACCACAGATTTCAATATGACAGACAGTGATCTAAAGCTGCTACCCTCTTAGAGCAGAATTCTTGTTTCTAGTCCTTTCGCCCCTAAAATCAGAATCTTGCAGATGCAGCACATAGCATGAAAAAAAATTCAAAAATTTCTGGCCAATGACATCCGGGTACCAGCAAATATACATTGTCATAGTGACGTCAATATTTGGCATTTTAAATTCCAATAGAAAGTGAAAATCAAAAGAAAGAGAAAGTATAATAACATTTGGCTACTCCATGTGAGAATAATTTTGAAATACTAGAGAAAAAAATTTAAGAAAAACACTGATTACCAAGAAGTTAACAGCAAAAAAAAAAAAAGTATCTATGTCGAGTATGATGAATTCAGTTAATATCTTCACATATAGAACTGTAGATGCCATTTAGTTCCTGGAATTCAGCAGAGCAGCACTGCACTGAAGAAATACACAGAAATTATCTCCCCAAAATCTGGAGACTCAGAACGAACTACTCATGTGTGAAACACAGACACCACCAGAAGAAAACAAAAACACCAAAAAGTCATTGAACGTCGCAGTCGGGGAACAGCAACAGCGTTCAAAAGCCTTTTGATGAAAATCTGGCATTGCACCAAAATCGGGCAGATTCTTACAATGACCGCTGGCTAAGAAAGCAGCGGGACAGTGCTGAGCAGGACAGTAACAAGTGCAGAACTCACTCATGTGCATGAGGGGCTGTTGCAGGCCGGGTCGAGGAGCAGGGAGGCTGTTGGAGCGCAGGGGCAGGCTGGGCACAGAGCCCCCGGGCCGGGGCAGCGCCGCGCTCAGCTCGGGGCCCGCTCTCAGCAGCCCCGCGGGGTCCATCCTGCTGCCCTTGGGGCTCGGCAAACCCCACTCGGGCTGGGGCTGGGTCATGGCCACGGTCCTGTTGGGAGCACCTGCTGTAACAAAGAGCAGAACGTGCAGCAGTTTGGCATCTGGGCTGCGTTACGTATTTTTGGGTTAAGAATTATTTTGTTATTGCAGCAACAAGTGCACCGGGTTTTTCTGGTCAGTTGGAGCCCCACCCTTCTTCACAAACTTGTCTTTGAATCAGACTCAGTTTTAATAGAAAAAAGAATTCATATATAGTGGATTCATATCTTTACAAAAGCAGCTTCTCTGAATACCTTAATTAGATCTCAGGAGCAAGCACTGAAACTCCATTTGGGTACTACTGCACAGTTGTTAGTGGCTTTTCCAGAAGTGGTATTCAAAAACCTGTTATGTTTCATTTATAGTCAGCCATTAGCTAACATAAAAATTGTGTTTAATTTTTCATTTACATTTTTATTATTATTTGGGAAATTCAGTGACAGAGCAATTCACTGAACTCCTAAAAAAGCATCTAAAGCTTACCATGCCAAGTTTGAAATCATCAAAAACCCATATGAGTCTAAACATATTTAAAGGTCATAATGACTTGACTTACCATTGTGACCTGTACTTGCTTCTATATATCAAAAACATATGTTAAAGACTCAAAATAGTAAAAAAGTTTAACTATTTAACAAAAATAAAGTTAATGATACACAGGGAGTAAACAGTTATTTTCTTATAATTTTAGCTAGGATAATAATTAAGAATTATTAATATGTTGATTTCTTCTAACCAAAACTCATAATCTTGCAACCTTTTCAGACATAAAAGCTTTTTCCATTACAATGAGATCTACTTGTAAACAATCAACAAACCCAGATTTGCTCCAAAATTCTCTTGGTTTTCCATCATTCTTGGACTTCCACCCATCAAGTTTTGCTTTTGTAACATGGAGAATGCATTGACATTCCTCACTGAAGCACTGGAGCCCACAGGGCTGTCTAAAGACATGGCTCTGTTAAAAGGAGGGCGAGCAGCCTGCACAGACTGGGAACTCTTCACACCTGTTAAAGAATGAAAAGATGCATGGAACTGTAATCTTCAACAGAAAGTGCCATTAATGACTTAAATAAATTAGTCTGATCTATTTATGGGCACATATATTTGACCTTAAGCAAGTCAGGAATAGTTATTTTGTTTATGCTCTCACTACAAAAATCACATTTTGAATATGTAATTTGGATCTTTTACAGGAAAGGCCAAATGTAGTTCCCTTTGGCCCTAGACAGAAAAAGAGAGAATTTTAATTCAAGTTCTGTAATGAACCATGTTTTTAACATTTTCAAACACCAGTATTACAGACTCCTTGATATATATGAGTGGGGTGCCCAGACTTTGGGGAACTCTGACATGAAGACAGAAACAAATGGTTCTGTTTGGAAGAGCTTGAACCCAGAGATGGTGTGTTCAGAGCATGGACAATTAACCTTCAATTAGAATTTTCACACAGAATAAGTGGGAAATTAAAAGCTTGCCACCAATACCATATTATATCCCTAGATATCTGTAAGGGACAAAAATTCTCAATTTTAATTTACAACTCGCAAAACAGTTTTCTTGATGACTTATCTCTGAGAAATCTACATTAGACAAAGCCAGAATAAACCCTAAACCAAGGAACTGAATGTTATTCCTTGTGTATATAGCAGGTGAGTGCTGTCAAATCAGCAAATAGTGCGCAAAATAGCCTGTGAGAGCATAATTAGACATTTTGCATTATGTTTCTCCTTGAAGACACAGGAGATGAAGAAAGTATTCCCTAAGGATTTGAGGATGTTTAAATCAGGTAAGAAGAAAACTCTAACTTTAAAACGAAAGTGATATTAAATTCCTTACCCAGTAAGGCATTTCCTTGGAATAAGGCTTGCTTTGCTCCAAGGTTATTTCCATTTGCAGACATAGCATTATTGTAAAACTCAGAACTAGTCAGATCACCTAGAATTGCATCCAAATTATCCAAGTCTCCATTCATCTGAAAATGATGCAGTAAAATACCAAGGTTATTTATTTACTCTTGTATGACCATCCTTCAGGTTTTGATTCAGCTCCTTGCTAATCCTAAAATATGGAACTGGGTAATTCACTGACATTATCTTGGGCTAGATCTCAATTTCCAGAGAACTTCAGATACCATTTAGTTACATTTTTTTTAGAGTATTTTGCTCAGCTAATTTTAAGAATAGTAGAAACTGAAGCACCACATAACTAAAATGAAAAGCCCCTCTGCATATAAACATTTCAGTCATCACAAACTTTAAAGATAAAAACACTAATGACAGCCAACAGCATCCGAAAATTGTGCATTATTTTTTATTTACACATTTATTATTACTTGGGAAATTCAAAGTTCTAAGATACCAACATGTTTTCAGTAAGCTCTGCCATACTGACCAGTACTGCTCACTTTGAAGAGGTTCGAAATCTGACTTAGGACTTAAATACAAAAATATTACACACAGATTATAATTTTAAGAACAGCTGTCCCTACCAAGTGTGACTTCTTAGTCACACTTGTGGTTTCAGAATACCTGTTGGATGGTTCTACAGTTTTCTGTATCATGACATTTCTTGGAATTCTGACTCTAGAAACACTGAAACAAATTAACAGGCATATATTTGTTTGAATGCTGAATATATGTAAGTATTTGGGATAACCTATTCCCTCACTTAAGGGGAAAAAAAAGAGTGCTAAAACTGATGAATAAACTAAACCAAATCATAGCTATTTTAAGTATTACATATTTTTGTGTACTGTTTATATTTGCAAGCGAAATCACATTTTACCTTTTGCTGTTGTCTTGCCAACTAATTACACAGTTACAGCTCCATTTAATAAAATAAGCCATAAAAAAACCCATGTGCTGTGTGAAATAGTAATGTTAAATAGCAATGTTAAAGATCTGATTTTAAACGAATAATTTGTTAGTATTAACCTTAATGATACCATACCTTAAAGATAACATCAATCCAGGACTTCAGTCCACCAGATTTGGTTGTATACATATCCTGTGGTTCTCTTTGTGCTTTTTTATTTACAATGAAACCTGAGTGCATTGTTCCATTTGCACAGAACTTTATCAGAAATTTTGACACAAGAACTGTCCTATATTTAGCCACTCACTGTATTAATAAACATTGCTTAGCTCACTGCCATCATTTTACATCATACTGTACCTCCTCTGCTGGCTCCATTTTTATTTTCATCTCTTTGTCTTGACTAGAAGTCGGAATTGTGGAACTCGTGCACTGTCCCATCTTACTATCCACACTTTCTACTTTCGGCTTCAACTCTTTGGAAAGCGGGTCCTTGACATCATCTTTATCTAACAGGTATCTTAGTAAAGCGTTGTTTTCCTTCTTCTTTGGGCTCAGTTGTTCCTGTTTGACGGTGCCTTCCCCACAGGAGGCCGTGTTACCAGCGTCATGATAGGTGTCTTTACCAGTAGCTTCAGCTGTGATCTTGGCCACCTCCGCTGGAGAATTGCCATTCTGCAACAATTTATGTAAAATCCTGTGCTTCTCTTGCAGGAGCGACCCATGCACGTTGGAGGAGGAAGACACCCCTCCAGATGTCGATGAGGAAACTCCTGAAGGACTGGTGACACTGGTGGAGGGCTCTTTACAGTTTGAGTCCAAAGGTGAGTTTGATGCCGTAGAATGCCCTCTCTCGTCTGAGGAGCACGTGAGTAGCTGAAGGAGTTTTTTATGCCCCTTGCTCTCAGATGGTCCTCTCTGACCTTCAGATGCCTCCAGATTTCCCTCTTTACTCTCTTTTTCACTAAGGAGATCCCTGCTGTTTGACTGGCAGACAGAACTTTCCACTTGGTTTTGTTCACAATACAAACCAGAAGGGCTTTTGGAGTCCTGGGTGCTTGTTTTGCTTTGTGGAGTTATGCTCATGTTTGGGGAATTATCCAATTTTGGACCCGGTGAAGAAAGTGTTGATAAAAGGGAATTTCCAACACCCTCACTGATGGCTTGCAGAGCACTGAGAGAGCTGCTAGAGAAAGTGCTGTTGCTAGTGTTGCTGGCAGATCCCATCGGCGAGTGCATACCTGTATGATGTGACAGAGATCACACTCATTACATTACAGCATTGCTTTGGTACAGTATCTACTTTGGTTCTGGATTATGTGTGACTGCCACACTGAGTTAATAATTTTAAAATACATTTTTACCATGAAATCAGGTATACTACATTTAAATAGCACATATAGGGTCATAAAGAAAAGGACGAACGATGGGACTCGATGAGAAAAGACAGTTTGAAAAAGGAGGGGTTTATAGCAAAAATAAAATACCTGTAACTGGTGAATACTGGTGTGAAGTCATTTTTGGACTCCCTCGATTCCTGGGAGATATCATTAGGTTCTGCTGGCTGGAAGTTAAACCAGGACTACCGTGGGGTGGGCTACTCATATTTAAGCCGTAGCTGTTGTTCTGATAGGCAGAGGATTGCAGGTTGGGTCCAGGGGTCACCGGCCCCATGTTCCCAGGGCCTCCGTACCGAGTGCTGCCGAGCTGCCCCCCTGCACTGGGATCTGCCAGGCCGTAGCTCCTGTTCTGCACCGGCATGCCTTGACCAGGGGACATGCTCATAAGGCCACCGACAGAACTGGTGTTTCCAGCCACAGGTGTTCTGATGTTCTGCCCAACAGAATTAGGGTTTGGTCGATATCCGTTTTGTTCTCTGTAAATTCAACAACATTCCCAGAAATCCCAAGAAAACAAATTAAAACCTTATCTGGAATCAAGTGCTACAAAGACATTATTAAATAATCTTCCAAATATTTTTTTTTTTTTTTTCAAAAAGAGCAGTGAGAATTTGAGCTTCCACAAAAGCAGAACTAAGCTGAGCCACTCACTTATTCATTACAGAAATGCTTGGTCATTTAGGTGATTTGAGTTCTAAGTACATACAATATCACTGCTTCAAAAGGCTTTAATCAACAGTCATTAGTCAGATTTATCAATTTAAAGATCTTCTTTCTTTCACTCCCTTCCTGAATCAATGCCTGACACCATTCTACTGTGCACACTAATGATGCCCTGAACAACCTCAGGTACTAATTTTTCAGCATCTGGAGACACTCTAATGTCAGAGGCAGACAGATTCCCTCCAGTGTGACATTTCAATCATTCTTGTAATCAGCAAGAACAGGTCACAGGAAGTGCTATTTAAGGCACATTAAACTTTGAGTCATGAATGATGCATCTGAAGGTGTTTGGTTGTCTTTTTAATTGGTCTGCAATTAAAAAGGGTATGATAAAGCACATGACTGAGCAATTCTGTTTTCAGTGTTTCTTCAATATGTTATCCCAAAGAATAATGGATACATGACACAGGCTACATGTGGGTATTGAGGGAAAAAAACCTTCTCTTTTGACTGACTGCCTTTCTGGCACATAGTTAAGTTGGGACTGTGTCAGGTTCACACATTTATTTGTATGCTGGGCAACTCTGTTTTCCAAGTTATTCCCCCTCTGTTCGACTTTTGATCAGATAAAATATTTTAGCATGCTATTTTTCTCAAGTATCTTCAAGGTCAGGCACATTGTTAAAAACTATGACACTTCAGTTATAAACAGATAAGACTGATTTCACCTTTGGAGGAAGTGGGTAGAGACAAACCCATGGCGGTCATTGGTTACGGGATTTCGGAACAGTTTACTCTTTGTTTGTGCTGTCACGATGGTCCCATCAGCTAAAGAAAACCGATACAGCGGGGTTTCAGCATGGCCCTGGGTATAAGCTGTAAAGGGAATATACAGATTTAGTTCACATTTAAACCCCCAGGAATTATTAATATGCATTTTAACATATTTTTAACATAATGTCCTTCATTTGCAGAAGATTAAAACCACCCCAAAACATGAAACTTTAAAAACAAATAAATATACAGACTAAAAACAGATATTAAGAAAAAGGAAGTATTCCACACTTTCTCCTAAACTAGTAGAGCTAAGATAAAAGCAAAGAAAAACAAGAAAAGGTGAATTAAAATAAAGTCAAATTACATTTACGCAAAAATAAAAGCTAATGATAATTGAAGGTGGCATACTATCACAGAAATATAAATGTCCTTGTCATTGCTGTGTCCACCTGTGGAAAAACAGCTTACTTCAGGCCCTCAGATTACGTATCTGGTATTTTCCATGAAAATTTTCAAAACAAACACATCAAAAAACCAAAAAGAGTTCTCAAAAGGTCAGCCTTCCTTCAGCTTGTAAACAAATCATCGTAATTAACACTGACCAAAACTACGAAAAAAAAAAAAAACAACACAGGTAGAATTCAGCATTTTTGTTTTGCTGAAAAAAGTGCAGTCCCCAGGAGAACCAGTGCAACCAAACGTGGTAAAGTGATTTTTACCTTCATGGTAGTGGCGTTTGTTTGACCACGACTGCCCGTCATTGTGGCACAAAAACCGCTGAATACACCGACGAATGATATCCTCAAAGCCAGGCCTCATGGAGGATCGTAATGAGTTTGTATCAATGTTGACAAGTTTGCCTTAACAGGAAAGAAAATACACAAGTTAAACTCTTTATGACTTTTGTATAAACGTGGTACCTTTCATAAGGCTCCAATATCCCCCATTCAATCACCGAATTCTGAGCACGCGGAATTCACATTTATGAATTATCTGTCACATGAGAATATGATGCTGCTTGTTAGAACATCACTATTCAAATGGATTTATATAACTGAATAAAAGGAAGTTAATCCCACACAGGTCAATGCCAGAGCTTTAGAAAACAGTAACCTCAGTCTCTGGTTACAGGTACCCCCGAGGGATGCACAACAAGTAAAATTTTCAAAAATACCGACCAACTATACCCACAAATGAACATCATAAACACAAACTGGCATCTGAAAAGGCCCCAACTAGATTATGTAACTACTTCAATTTAAACCACATAAACCACTTTAAACACTAGTTCACGTACTATACAAAAATACAAACATTCTAAAGAACTTCCATTCATTTCAGTTATGATTTGAAATATTTCCAATGTGCAAAGGAAAGCACAATGGCAACCATTTGAAATGCTGCCAAGTTAAAATACAAGTAATGCTTTTAACCAAGATACCAAACAACAACACAGAAAAGAAAATGCATCCCACAGTTTTGATTACATCCCACTGCCAGCAATGGTATATTGCAAAAAGCAGTTGGGAATTCTCGGTATGGATTCTGCTGGTCATTACACAATTTACCTACATTGTCATGACACAATTTACCTACATACTCCATTTATTTAAAACAAGAGCACCCTGACAAAGAAGACCCCATCACCCTGGGTAAATTTCCTACCTGAGAGGTCGTGTCTTGTAATAAAACTCTCTGGATTTGTCAGAAATATCCTTTCTGCAGTTGTGATCCGACGCGCCACACAAATCATGCAGGACTGCAAATCTGTATTAAAAAAAAGAATGGGTTTTTTCCTTCTTTCATTTCTCTCCTGTTTTACTCTATTGAAGCATCTAATAAAACAGCTGAAGTGTTGTTTGTTGTTAAAATGGAGGTACAGACAGTAAGAATTAAAGTCATTGCATTCTTCAAGATGAATTGCAAAAGGTACAGAGTTCATAACAGAAGAGTTTTGCGCAGAAATTTCTTCTATGCACAAAATTTCCTACCTTCCCCCTCTTCCATCATAGCTCTTGGCTGTGATAAAGCAAAGCACTGCATAGTTTCATATCTCTGACGTCCATCCTGGTGGCTGCCCACATCTTCCAAAAGGTCATGAGAGCTCTTCACCATCATCCGGCAGTTGAATGTGTGACTCTTCTGTCTGGGCGTGTCACTGGTCCAAGCCACTCCATTTACTTAAAAGAACACAGTAAGAATTGATAGGGATTTTCAGAGAAAACCAAAACTGGTTCTTCTTTATTTAGATACCCTGTTCCCAGATTACAGAGGTCAAAGATTTTTTAAAGAAGCCTTCTCAATATACCATGGTATAAAAAAGTAGTACTGAGAACCAAGTAAAAAACACTTTCACCTCACACTTGAGGGAGAGCTGAAAAGTCATTCACATATTTTAAAAACAAGCAATACCTTCAGCTAACCTTGTGGCATTAGGAAACGTGTCCCTGTTTTAAGTTACAGGTAAACAAAATGCAAAGGCTAAAGTACAAGGTGAATTTCCAGCACGTTTATTTATGGTGGTATGCTGTTGTAAAAACACAGTAATGTTTATCAAGATTAAGGTATTCTTGTAGTCTAATATTCTTTGCATAAGTGATCTGTTTTAAAAGGTTACCCATTACAAGGCCTTTTTTTCTTCTCTGATTGTTTTCATATAGCCTACTAATGTACTATAAATCAACTTTCATTACCTGAAGATTTAGGTAAGTTCTTAAGAAAGTCTTTCCGGTCCTCTTCGTGCAAGATACCATAGACACTTGTGTTAACCAAATCTTCTTGTTTGTACTGCAGATACTGGGTGACATTTTCTGATACAAACACTATGTTCCCATCTCGATTTACAACAAACAGGAAGCCATCCAGTGCCTAAACATTAATATGACAACATATCATATCAGACACACTGCCTAATTCTGAACACAAATTAGTTTAAAAACTACATGGGTGAGAAATGTCAAGTTACAATACATTCATTTATATTCAAGGCTAGAGCTGAAGTTTTAAATTCTCTGAGGAAAAATGTGTCCAAAAAGGAATGATTCTAATATTAAAAATTAATCTGTTCATTTGTTATTCCATTCAGCTCCTTCACAGTGATAACCAGCCTTCTTGTTTCATTTCTTGATCTGCATGAACACTAGATCATGAATTTGTAACGTTACTTCAATAGCTAGCAAGCTGGAACAAGAAGAAATTCAGTAGAAACAAGTAGTAAGTCATTAATACGAAGACATTTCCACCAGCAAGTGATAAGAGAGGGGTGTCTAATCATATATTAAAATACTATATTTTCTTAACTGAAAGAAAAATTCAATATCTAAGTTTCAAAAGTGCTTTTCATTGAATTTGTAAATATGGGAGTGGTTTTCTAGGCATAAAGAAAGGGTACTCTGCTGTGTACCTTTGTTTACAATGATTCTTAGGTCATTTTACTTGATGGCAACATTCATTTAAAATGCTTCATAATTTAGTAACACAAACACCAATACACATAACCAACCTCCCCCAAGCCCCATCCATTTAATGCCTATCCCCCCAAAAAAGTAAAATATTCCTTGTATTAACAATCACTGCTTCAGTAGTAATTTACTAATGACTCCTGGAGAAAGAAAAGCACAAGAATATAAGAAAAACCCGAAGACTATTATTTCCTTCTATAGAGAATTCCAACAAAATTAAGAAAACATTGTAGATTTTATTCCTGACAAATACAAATCTGTATAGTTCTGGCATACTATTTCTTACCATAGGATTGCATGTTTTATTGTAGTATTTTCACCTGCCTTAAGTATTTGGTTCCACGGGGATTTACGAGGGCCTAATTTGTACTTGCCTGTAATAAAAGAGGCCCCAGTGAATCCTTGTCAATAACTCCTTGACCGGTAGAAGATACATCAGCTTTCTGAACATCATCATCATTAGAAACTGCTTTTCCTGAAACCCAAAGGATACATTTCAGTGAAGCAACATTTCACAGCAAGGCTCCATTTTAATATTACAAACCAGATTTTATCAACTCGTCAGCACTCGGCACAGCCTTTCGATGTGCCCCCCATTGTTCTACAGAAAGGCTTTGACTCGTGCTAATAGATGTGTGTGTTACGTACACGTGTGTGCATGTTAGGAACCAATATTTTAAGAATCAAAATATTCTAAATTAATTGACTGCAGGGGAAGGTGGACTGGCAATCCAGCAGAATTACAGAAAAGAAAAAGGTAAGCTTTGTTTTGTGGTAGTTGCTGGCTGGCCAAGTGCAACATCCTATGGGAAGAATACACTAGATGACATTACAAAAAACCTTGAAAACAGAAGATGAATTTTTATAATTGTTCTGACATGTCTTCATAAGATATAGCAAGGTAAAATACACACTGTAGCATACTTAATTTTTTTAATACTTTACTGCCCAAATGGCATATGGGATGCTGCAGACATGAAGAGGTGGAGATGTGGGTGGGGTGGTGTTTGAAAAGAAAAAAACAACAAAACTACATATACCCCTCACTCTGCATTTCAAAACACAGGTTTTGTGTACACCTGTTCATTAAAAAAAAGTATTATACCACTTAGGTTGACCCCAGCTGACAGAAATTACCAAGATATAATGTACTGCTACTTCCTCCTTTGTTGACTTGACTCTGTACTGAACACAGTCCACCACACTAATTAATTACTTGATCTCAATCTAGATGTGTTTTAAATACATAGGTGTCCAAAACTTATCATTTAGGAAAGGTGTCATAAACAGCACAAGAAAACATAATAGGAAAAAATAGCAATAGAAGTCACTATCCCTGGTTGGAGGTTTACCCCATAAGGAAAGGATAAATTTCCTTGAAGTGAAAGGCAACAGCATGTATTCTTCACATCAGTGGGTATCTGGTATATTGTACAAGCAGATGGTACAGTACCATCTGCTTTTTTTTCCTTGTCTGTGCACTAGCTTAAGCTTTTCTACTGTTTCCAGGAAACTGGTAAGAAAGGCCATACAAAGTTTTAAAACCTGACTCACAAGTGATGATAAATACCTGAGTACTTTTAACCTGAAAATCATTTCAGACATATTTAAGCTTTGCTTCAAGTCAGAGTCCGAAGACTTGCTCAGATCCATGCTATTGTGAAAACAATTACTCAGTTTCCCAAATAACAACTGCTTCGAACAAAGAATCACAAGAAAATTAAATTGTTTATTTTGACTGAGCAGAGAACTGTACCTTGGTCTTTGATCTGTCGAATCTGTCTCACGGTTTCTTTTAAAATAGCACATTTGTCTGGTTTGACATTGAAATTGTCAATGTCACTCAGATTAGCAGAGATCAGCTCAGCCAGTTCTTCGATGTATTTGCTTTCCTGCTCACGCCGACGCTTCTCACCGCTGCAGGTCAGACTAGGAATCAAAAACGTTGTTTCACATATTTACACACCACTCTCAACAAAACCTGTGCTCACTCTGTCAACTTCAATGCACTCCATGTCACACCCACCCCTTAAACCCAGGCGGTTCTTATTCTTCCAGCAAACATCAATTGTGAAGGTCTGTGTGGGTGTTTTGTTACATTGTTGTTTGGTTTGGGGCTTGTACTTGGTTTGCTTTTATTTTGAAAGAATTTTAAGCACAGATTTATCTTAATGGGATGTAAGAAAGCTATTCACCCCTTCCCTTCCCAAAAAATCCTGTGTTTACTCTATTGTCAAATTAAATGAAAAGAGCAATTACCTGTTACAAAATTGTAGCACTCGCGCAGAAAGTGTATTTAAAATTTTAGAAGCTGCTTTAGATTTGCTTATAAATTTTTAGACAAATGAAACAGAATTTTAACATTCTATCAAATCCCTTCAGTTTGCTTGTAAAGAGATGACTACAGGAGGTGATACCTCAGAAATTTCTAGGCATCAGGACAAAAATGCCATCCAGGAAAAGCAGAATCCCAGACAATCAAATGCTGCTGGATAAAGTCTCTCTGTGAAATCCCTTTTCCTGCATAGGTTAATGTGCTGAGTAAAGACACTGTTTACAGCCTAAATCAACAGGGAGAAATGTTACACACACAGTACAGCAGGAAAAGAAGGACTCAGGGAACGGGCAAGAATGGACACACCAAGGTAATCAAAAGAGAGTGAATGTTCTCTGAGAAGAAATCAAGTGAAAGAGTTAGGAAAGTAAGCGTGGACCAATTTTGGAGAAAACAAATACATGACAAAGCAGGAGCCTGAAAGATAAAGAAAGCTAATGAAGGGTGACAATGTGAAAAACAGAATTCCTGAATGGGCAGACAGACACTGGAGAAAAGAAAAAGAAAATGGAATGGAGGATTCTCATAAAGAGACACTGGGATACAGTGGAATAATCTGAGGATCTCATACACAGTCTGTTGCATGATGAAGGTAAATGGCCTGGGACAGTGGGGATGTATCTCTAGGGGACAAATATAAGTACACACAGTGCCTGCTGGTACCTTGGTGGAACTGAAGATAAATTTAATAAGGGTTAATACTCTGTGGGCAGGAGAACATGAAAGGATAACACAGAACACTGAACATGGTGGAGAGCAATGAGCTTTGAGGGGAACAGAAAACTGAGTCCCTCAGACAACAACATCTGACACAGTGGGGTGAGGGGCTGTGAGACAACACAGAATGCCAAAATTTGAGATAAACTTGCAAAGAAACACAAGTACAAACAAAGAAAAAAAGAGCTCAGCCTCTTGCAGAACTCTGTGCTGAACGTAACCACCTGAAATAAGGGTTGTCAAATCAAATACCAGAGACAAGATGATGCCTTTAAAATTTCTGCAAAGCAAGAACCTTTTCTTTTTTTTCCTTACAATCACAGGTTCGAGCAGTGATTGCTTATCTAGAGGAAAGTGTCCCTGCCCATGGGAGGGGGACTGGAACCAGATGATGTATGAGCCACTCTGAAATGGTCACTCTATTAAAATTTCCACAAGAGTCTAATTATAAAGATTGGTTCATCACCCTTGGCACACCTCCACACAATAGCAGTTACTTGTCTTCACAGTAGAAGCTGGCCCAGAGAATTTTTCAACTGAACAAATTCCTTACATAGAACTAACTCTGAATTGCAATGAAAGCTTGAAAAACGTTTTTAAAAGCTCATTTGAACCCGAGAAAGTTCTACACAAACCTACCTTGCACCTGGGGTATCACAGGGCAATGGCTTGCGCTTCCTTGACTCGTTGGCCAAGCTGTCCAAGGAGTTTTCTCCTAACCCACTCATTGTGGCCATGCATCAGCAACTGAAAGCAAAAAACAAAAGTATTTGTGAATGAACCTCTCAAAATACTAACGTTTGTTTAACCATGTCTTTAAAATCTAATTTTTATTCAGCCAAAACACTGGTTTATAAAGGTTTGTATCAATGTAAGCAAAAATAGAGGTTAAAAACCTGTTTCAAAGATACGCATTAGGAAAGGAAGGATAATATATCTTTTATGTCACAATAAAATTAAAACCAACAGTAAAACACAATCTCGAATTTGAAATAAAGAATTACAGAAGATGCCTAACTCTGTACTGTGGGCATGAATTGCAGAGGTAACAAGTTGGTCTTACATCTAAATATCTGATACCAAACCAGGATGAATAAGACAAACCCAATATATAGAGAGGTGGAAGAGCAAGTCTGAAGACCTTTATTCACTCAGATATTCCACCAGGGCAAAAGTCTCTCCAACACATGCATTGGGGCCCACCTCACGTGAAGTTCAAGATGATTACACTGTTGTGCCACTAGATGACGGTACAGCACTGAAAAACTGCAGGGATCACATTTCCTTCAACTGAAGCAGCTGAATGAAAAACTACTCATCTGAGAAAGCGAGTAGTTGCAAAAAAAAAACCCAGATTATAGAAACATCATGCAAAAAGCAGCCGATTGTCTGGAGCTGACACTCAACAGATGACTCATAACATGCCCACTGAGCTCCCAGCTAAGGCTGGAGCCTCAGTCACGCTGGAGGTGACACAGCCCTCCTGCCAGGGCTGCTGTTTCCCTCCCTGGCACTGCATCACTCCATCCAAATATATATAAATACACATTATATGTGTATATGTAACTGCATCTGAGTACAGACACAGAGCAGAGTTAAGAGCTTTTGTGGAAAGTGAAAGGAAGAGCTTAAAATATAAAGTCTTAAGGCTAGCTCAGGAAGGGTGTGGGCACAGCAAGGGTGTCTGAAGCCAAGAGTAAATTCTATTTACGAGGAGGAAACAGTTGAAAATTTGAGCTGGGACGGACATCTCACGATAACACAGTTTTGAAGGTTACAGGGTTGCACTAAATGATTTACATTGGAAATGTCATTTTTATTTTAACATCTACTTGTACAGAGAGATAATATGATTAAACAGAAAACCATCAATTATTCCATTTATGGAATTATTCCATTCCATTTTGACTCAGAAACACATATCAAAGAGTGCAACCCTTCTATTTAAGAAAATAGAATTCAGTCCCTAAATAAAAGAGCTTGGACACGGAAGGAAAAAATGAGGTGATCTGCACAAGCTGTTTCCCTGCTCTTAAACCCAAGTAGCTGCTGGTAGTTTATTCAGGTCTGAAGCTGCAGAGTTCCTGCACGTGTATTTTCCTTTCCCTAAGAATATCATTACAAGCTGGGTAGGCATGCCATGCCTAGAACAACTCTGTAACTGTTTGGCTAAGGAAATTACAGAAGCTGCTTCCCAGTACAGATGGATTTACAGGACAAATTGTTAGCAGTCAAACTAATTTCCCAGCTACGGGAAATATCTGCCCAAGAAGCCATTATTCAGTGAGTTAATAGTGGAAGAAATCCACTTATTCATTGAAGATGAACCCATAACTTTTAAGGGGCAAAAAAGTCTTTCCAAACAGAAACCCTATTTTGGAAGTTTTGGGGAGTGTTCCTGAAGTGAGTAATTATTTCAATGGACAGCTCTGAAACACAGCTTTCAAAAGTGAAAATTGTTATGCCTTTTTACTACTGAAACCAAAGAAGTTTAGTATTCTACTACTATTCACCAAAAAGGATGTGGCAACTGGGAAGGTTTTGTCCTAATAGGAGCCCAAAAATACAATTAGATGCTTCAAATTTCATTTTTATGTTTGTTTAACTGAAACAGTTGACCACACACAAAGTCCCCAAACACACAACTATACAATACTAATTTAAAACATATCAAAAATATTTTTTAGAATACTATTTTTTGTATGAAAACATTTTTAACACTTTGTTGGCCCTATGAAACTATGAAGCTTTTCCTAAATTAAATACAAGTGCTTGTGGTATCTTGCACACTTGGAAGTTCTTCTGTCTGAGATGATTTCTTGTTTGGAAAATGCACGAGGCAAAAAAGTATAAATTGGCTCTTAGCATTCCTCAAAATAAGCCAATCACAAAGAATTAAACAAGTTCTCTTCAGTGAACCATGAAGATGGCCTGGAATTTTTTTATTTTACATGTTAAAATATTGAATTTAATCCTCTCTCCTAAAAACCAAGCTGTAAGTCACACATGTTTGTAAGATGCAAATTGCACTAAACTAACTATTTTATGCTAAGAGAAGCCTCAGATATTTAAATTTTATTTGATATAAATAAAACGGGAGGACATTCCAATCTGCAACTCTGTATTCTAGGTAGAAATTCATTGTTTCAAACTTCTATTTCCCTCAAATACACATATATAAAAAGTAGCTTTCCAGTGAAACTTCTGAGTCAAAATATTCTTGATATTATGCAAAGGTTCCTTTGTTGAATGCTGATCACAGAAACAAATGATGTTTCCACTTACACAGATAGGAAGCCACAAAAAAATAAACAGAAAATTCACTTTCTGGCAGTAGTGCAACAGCGTTTTTCATTTGGTTTGGGTTTTTGTTCCTTCCCTCCCCTCCCTTTTCTTTTTTAAGAATATGCTTTAAAGCTACTAAACTGTAGTTTTAAAAATAGTAAGGGAATAACTCCTCAGGTATATATATATATATATATATTCCAGCTATGAGATCAGTCACTTACTTGTCCTTAGCAAACATTCAAGCAGAGCGTGTTTTTCAAAGGACCTTCAGAATCAGAAGTCATTTTAAGTCACATCCTGAAAAACAAAAATAATATACAATATATAACTGCAACTAACTGTGATCTCTGCCATATCCTAAATAGCTCAAAATATCATCATCACAAGTGCCAACCAGTAAATCAGATTCTCTTTTGCATGAGAACCAAGGGTATTTATGGTAAATGTATTTTTTTTTTTTTTTTGTTACTCTGGAGGAAACAATGAAACTGTTAGTGATGGTCGATATTAGTAACTTTTAAACCTTAACATGAAAAGCCACACTCCCAAAGTAATTGCTTTGTAAAGACATGACTGGCAAGTAACATGGAGTGTGTCAGTCTGCACATGGTGCTTGTACATAATTCTACAGGAGAACATCAAATTGTTTCCAGGGCTATGAACACTCAGGTTTCTGTTTCTCTGTGAAATTCTAGGAATCATTAACCCATGTTATCATGCATTTTATACAAGGTCTGATTAAGTGCACTAATTAGTGGGATACAGAGAATATAGAGAATTACAGTAACTAAGGGAAAGTTTTAAATGACAGTTCTGTGACTGAATTGAATTTCTGAAAACTGCTTAAAGTGCTACATGAGGCAGAGGCTGCTCAAGCTCATTAGAAAAATAAACTGCTCTTGGGAAATATTTATGAGGCATTCACACCCCCGTCCTACTCAAAATCAGGAGTTTAAAAACTGATACTTATACCCAGACTACTTAATAGGTAATCATCAGCAGGTTTTCTTCAAGTAGTTAACTTTTTAAGAAATTAAAGTGAAGCTTTTCATACTGACTGGTTGCATATGCATTCATCTGCTTTTTAACCATCCCTGTGACAAAAGCATATATTAATTCCATGGATTTCAATATCTGAGTTGTTTAAGCAGAAGATAGAAAATAACTTCTCAAAGTAGCCCCACAGTAAAGTGACTAAAAAATAACCTTCTGAATAATCTGAAGGCTGTTGGAAGACTAGAATTTGCACTCCTTTGGTCTGGACAATTGCTGCAGAGGAGCTTTCTAAAAGAACTGTAAACTGGCAGGGCAACCTACAGACAGATCCTCAGCTCTGTTTTACAGACCAGGATGAAATTAAAATAACTTGAAGTAGGGATGAAACCCCTTCCCAGTGAACAAGAAAGGTAACAGCAAATATGCTACAGAAAAATTCTGTTGTTCATCCAAAGTTAATTAGACTTGAAGCTACTACCACTGTAATTAAAACAGGATATTAAAATCCTGTAATCCATGTTGTGATTCTTGAGGTGCCCCTGCCAGGAGTTGGACTCGATGGTCCTGATGGATCCCTTTCAACTCAGCATATTCTATTCTGTGATCTGAGGCATTTAAATGAAAAACTAAACCACGTCCATCTTTTCAATATCATTTGGTCTTTTTCTTGCTAATCAACCCCAAACTCTTACACACTGAAAGCTGACCATTCAACTCTCTTGTCCCTGCTCTAAATCTACATGCTTCCTCTTCTGAATAAAAATATACATATATATTCATAGTCACATGTGCCAGGTATGGTAAACACAAAAGACATAAAAATACTTCAGAGATAATTAATGTGCCTGTTTAAAAAAGGAATCAAATACAAGCTACTACGCTTTAAATTACAGTGCATAAGACCAGCATATTGTTAAACTCTTGAGGGAGGGGGGAAATGCAGCAGATAAAAAAAAATGCCACTGAACCTAAACTACAGCTTTGTGAATCTGAAAGTGCAATGAATGAACTACTGAAACAGGTAGCGAGACTCGTGTGCCCTGAGCTAATAAACAGCTTTTTTGTACTGTACTAAGTTTGTAGTAAAAAGCCTTTCATTACCTTTTCAGGTTAAAGCACCTATACCTGCATTATGAAGCAGACACGAAATTATATTAATTGTATTGATACAGGACTATGTTAATCTAGTATAACAACTAATAAAATACTATTCCAGAACATTCACTTTTTAGCATTCTCCACTCTTCCCCTCCCTCCCCCCACCCAGCCAAACACCTGACTCAGAGACTTCACTGAATCAGGACTTTCAGTTATAAAAAAAAAAAAAACAAAACAAAAAGGTGCCACCCATAAGGTGGCAGCCAGTTAAGCACACCTTGTTGCAACATGTTAAATAACCTCAGCTCAGCACACATCCCTTTCATATTACACATTCCATCTCAGGGAGACGAACGTTTCAGGCCCTGTCAGCTTTCATTTACCAATTCCCCCGCAGTGTTTGGTAAGCAGTTTGTATTCCTGGGCTATTTGTCAGATGTGACAATTAACTTGAGCCTTGGTCGCTTTGCATATATTAAAATGACAGGACACCTTCAGTAAAAGGTTGGTCAGAGGTGGAACACACTGGGAGTTGGTCTCCTGTTCCTCTGCTAAATAATGTGTGTGTGCTCTATTTTTTGGAATGTCATTGCTTGTTAATTTGTTTGCCAGCAAGAGATAAGGGGGGCTGCAATAAACACACTATTATTAAAAGGACTATTTTTCATCCTTACACACCTTGTGAACGTTTGCAAGAATTTTTCACCCGTGAGCTTTTAACATTGTTAAGTCCTTAAACACTTGAATCCGAAAGGAGTTAGTAAACAGCTATTTTAAAAAACAACTTAGAATTTATATATAGAGAAAATCTCTAGCTCAAATACCACAAAGAAAGAAACAGGATGTGATGTCTGGGCTACTACAGTGGGACCTGTAACTATTTAAGTGGTAGGAAATGACAGAACACCACACTGCTGTACCTCCAGCCACATCACCAGCAGGAGAAACTCAGACAAGTCAGTGAGCAAGTAGCTGACTGAAATACTAGATCTACTTACATTCTATGTCAATATTTAATGAAGTTCTAAAAGTGGAAAACATTTCTTCCAGTGATCCTTGCCAAAAACAGTGAGTACTATGGAAAGATATTGTCCTATGACCAGTGCATGAACTTCTTTTCTATTACTGACACCAATAAAACTAAAAAAGATATTTATATAAAATTATTCTTGGTCAGAACTCAAAGGAGTATTGAGGAGTCACTTTCCAGCTCTATATACACCTGATTCATAAGTGACTCCAGGCCATGTGACACTCAGTACAATTTGCAGGTAAGAATTCAAGCTGTACAATTCATCTCTACATATTTCAATGTCATCTTAATTAAGAAATCATTTTGCATCAATTCACATAATCTCTTAAAATGGAATTATGTAATCCTAAATTATTTAAAGATTAGTTCAAAGTATAAAATCTGTCTAAGTTTAGTAAAGGGCATCAACTAAATCCTTTAGATTATGAAACTATCAGTCTGACTGTGTAAGTCCGAAAACATTGCTTATCTATTTTTTAATCACTTCTAACCCTGTTTTGTTTGTAAGTGGATATATTCACTAATGAAAGATTGTTCCATGCCTTATCAATTTATGACTTTGATTCTTACACAGTTTTGACCACCAGACATCACAATAATGTGATTACCTTTTCAATTCAAACTTTACCCACTGCCACGATAAAGTCCAATGCAAAGGGATGATTGTCAGAAACCAAGTAACAATCATATCATCACATCAAATGCAAATACAAAGCAAAAACTGCTAGTAGAAAATCAGATGGGATTCGTGGCCCAGCTTACAAAATTAGGACAACTATATTTGATGGGGAAAGAACCCTACACATAAATATGTGGTGTTTTTTCCTTACAGAAGATAAGATCCTGTAAGATAACCGAGTGACACAGACATTTTCCATCATGATCTAATAAAGACACAGGAGCTCTTACCTTAATTTAACGATGAGTAAGAAATTAGTTTTCCCTTACAAGGGCAAAAGCAACTTCTCAAACACAGTTTCAATATGGTAAGAATTCAATTTGCAGCAACAACCATCATTTTCTCTGAGGCAGCTACACACACTGTCTGACACTTCACAGGCTGAGTGTACTTCAAAAGTTCTTGGTGAAAAAGGAAATGGGATCAACTAAATACACGTGATCCCTGTCCAAGGCATCAGCAATCCCATTCTCTTTCCTGAAGCCCAGAATGTGCCATCAGCAAGTCCATTCTCCTTCCCCAGACCCTGAGTCAGAGCTGACACACCTTTATATGTATTACATGAGTGCAATGTTTTTGTTCTGCCCTTCTACCCCTACTAAAGCCTCATGGAAGCAAAGACTGCTTGTTAATAGAGAGGGAGAACTTTAACACAACTACAGTGTTACAGTTTAGCACTAACTCATTTAGTACCATGGACTTGTTGAATCAGACCCTGTGATGCCAAAGTCTTACTCATTTCACAGAGATGACAGTTTTATATAACACATGTTTAGAACGAGAACAATTCAAAATCAGTTTTCCAAAGCAGCAGCTAAAAACTAGGTAAAGTATCAGCAATCTCCTTGTGAAAGCCTGTCCACTGAAAGCTTCAATTTAGAGACAGAAGTCATTTTACATTTGGATCAAAATCTCCGACAACACCAAAATGCCTTCAGACAAAGGGAAAAACTTTTTGACAGAATAAAACATTCACTGTACACACACTCAGTTTCTGACATATCTCTATCAGTAGATGCCAAGCTAAAGGCCAGCTTTCCAACTTCTCCAAGCAGAACTCAGAATAGCATTCAAAACAGATGAACTTGCTGCATTTTCTACAGTTGTTATTATAAATGGATTCTGAGTATTCCCAACTTAGTCTTTGACTACTGTATGTAAATTGGAAGCATTCATCAATTCAGTAAGTATGGAGACTGACTTTTAAGAAAACTGTTTATTTGAAGAAGTAAACTTTCAAGTGCCAAGTTGCTGAGTAAAAATATTTTTAATTAGAATTATGCAGCTGAAAAAACATTCTAACCATTCTTCTTATACTTGGACATTTAAAATGCAAACCACTCAACTAAAAAACACAAGTCTCTCAATTAAAAGCTCTAAGTAGAATTTTTGCAATTATCTAATTGTTTTGTTTCCCCCATTCTACTCTGGGCAACTGCTCATCTCGTTGATGCTCATGTTCAGCCTATCAGCTTGTTCACTTCACCATTT